CCCACTAAACCACGGAAAACCAAAGAGATTTTTTTGATACTTTTAGGGGTATAAATTTAAATAGGGTTTAAAAACTTGATTTTCAAGTAAATCAATTAAGTGGGAAGTTTAAGACATTTTGTCCCGTCATGGAAAATTTGGGGGGTTTGTGAAATTTTTCCCACCATTGGGATTTTAAATACGATTTTCAAATAAAAGCCATTTTTAAGAGTAAAGATGGGGGAGGGGGATTTTTGAGAGTGGTCAAAACGTCACGGATTTTCGATTTTTTTTAAAAAAAAGCAAAATTAGGAAACTCTTCACAGAATATACATATAAATTAAATTTGGGAATTAAAATGAGAAAAGCAAAGAATTTAGGGGGTAAATATAATTTTAGAAAATGAAGGGGCTGATGAAAAAAATGTGAAGATGGATAGGAGGGAGGGAGGGGAAGATGGGGTGTTTTTGTACCTTTTTTTCTTTTCTTTAATCTTCTCATGGCCATTTTTCTTTTTCTAAAAAAATTTTTTTTCTACAAAGTGTCTCTAAACATATCTCCTCTTTTCTCTCTAAAATCTGCTACCGAAGAGAATCAATATTTATTCACTTTATGCGAAGAAAGTAAAAAATAGAAAGGAAGGTGGAAAGGGAAGGGGAGAAGTTGTTGACGAATTAGTTACAAGAAAGTAAAAAAAAAGTGGTTGTTGGGGAGAATTTTAGGTAATTTTAATGTAAATTTGAGGGAATTTATTTAAGTGAAAGAAGGAGATTAAGTGGATAGAATTTTTGCTGGAAAGTAAAATCCGCAAAAAATTTGCGGACAAAAAAATTTTTTGCGGCATAAAAAATTTTTGCGGACAAAGACGTCTAGGGTTAAAGAATTTTACTTCGATTCCATAAATGATTTGGCGTGGTTTAAACATTAATCTGATATTGGTATAATTTCGGAAAACGAACAGATCCGAAATAGGTCAAATTATATGTCATTCGAAAGAGCTCGTCGAGTTATGACGAATGGTGAAAAAATTTTTGTGCGGACTCATAGAGGGGCTGAGATATAGGTCCGCGAAAATCGAAAAACCATAGGGGGGACCAAGCACTTTTTTGGGGTGAAAAATTCGAAAATGCAAATAATAGCTCATTCGAAAGAGCTCGTCGAGCTGAGTCGAATGACACCAAAATCAACGAAATCTGACTTGATTTGACAAAGTTATGATCGTTTGTTTTAGCTCCTTACCTTTGGTATCCGTCGAGGTTTTTCCTGCTACGGAGGAAGCCAGATAACCCATTACAGCGATAATTGGAATAGGATTAAGTTACGAGCCCAAAACCCATCGCCCGTAGACTCCCCGCGAGGCGCGTGCCGCAAAACCCCGCGCGAAGCGCGGGGTTTTGCACAAGCGCCTCGCCTACGCCCCATAGGTTTACGTTGACCATTTTGAGCCTATATCTCGGCTCAGAATCAAGATTTAGAGTTGATTTTGGTGTCATTCAACTCAGCTCGACGAGCTCTTTCGAATGAGCTATTATTTGCATTTTCGAATTTTTCACCCCAAAAAAGTGCTTGGTCCCCCCTATGGTTTTTCGATTTTCGGGGGCCTATATCTCAGCCCCTTTATGAGTCCGCACGAAAATTTTTTCACCATTCGACTCAACTCGACGAGCTCTTTCGAATGACATATGATTTGACCCATTTGCGCTCTGTTCGTTTTCCGAAATTTTTCCCTGATATTAATTAATAAAAAAAATCCGCAAAAAATTTGCGGACAGAAAAATTTTTGCGGATTGCGGACAAATTTTGCGGACAAAAAATTTTTTGCGGACAAAAACTTTTAGGGTTAAAGAATTTTTATTCGGTTCCATAAATGATTTGTTGGCTTTTAGACATTAATTTTTGAATTTTTCGAGAGATTTTGAATAAAAACGGTGCTTGGAAGAGTCGTTTTAATCCTCATCATTAGGGACAGCCAAAACATGCAAATGCATGTTTTGTATGCGGATATGCCTTGAAGTGGGAAGCCCAAAAATGGTGTTTTTACATAGGTACGGGCACTTTAGGACCCGGTTCTTAATGCATATATTTGCATATTTTGACCATTTCGTGCATATTTGCATATTTGTGCATATTTTGGCAAAATTTGCATATTTTGGTCCATATTTAGGCATATTTTGTAAAATTTTGCCAAAAATTGACCAAAATTTTGAAATTTTTTGGTCAAAAAAATTTTTTATGAAAATTTTTTGAAAAAATATTTCCGAAAATTTTTTGGGGAAAATTTTGGTACTTTTCCGTTCTGCCACACCCCCCTAAATTAATGTTCAAAATGTCATATATGGGGTAAAAAAAGGTACTGAGTCGAACAGTAACACTCTTTTCCCCCGGAGATGCCTTTGGACTAAAATTTTTTGCTCGAAATGGTCAAAAACCATAGGGGGAGTAAGCTCAATTTTGGGATAAAAAATTCAAATATGCGAATAATACTTCATTCGAAAGAGCTCGTCGAGCTGGGTCGAAAGACACCAAAATCACCGCGGTCTAACAAGTTTGGACCAAGTTACGATACAAAAATGTGTGTGGTTCTTCAATTTTCAGAGACCTGTATCTAGGTCAAATCAAATCAGATTTCGTTAATTTTGGTGTCATTCGACTCAGCTCGACGAGTTCTTTCGAATGAGGTATTATTTGCATATTTGAATTTTTTATCCCAAAATTGAGCTTACTCCCCCTATGGTTTTTGACCATTTCGAGCAAAAAATTTTAGTCCAAAGGCATCTCCGGGGGAAAAGAGTGTTACTGTTCGACTCAGTACCTTTTTTTACCCCATATATGACATTTTGAACATTAATTTAGGGGGGTGTGGCAGAACGGAAAAGTACCAAAATTTTTTTCCCGAAAATTTTTGCAGAAATTTTAAATATATTAAATCCTTTAGAAGTGTTCATAAAATGTAAAGTTAAATGCTAAATTAGTGTTTTTAAATTAAAATATTGATTTTTAAAGCATATTTTAACTATTTTTTGGTGCATATTTCACTGCATATTTTGGCAAATTTTGCATATTTTGATGCATATTTTGGGCTTTTTCGGTGCATATATATGCGCATATTTGGCAATTTTCCGTGCATATTTTGGCTGTCCCTACTCATCATATGAGTTGAATTGCCTTGTTTATTAATTAAAAATTAACCGAAAAAAGTGGAAAATGTTCTATGGGGGAAAATGATGGGGGGAAATGATTAGTTATGTAATGTGTTTATGTGTGAATGGATTGTTGATATATTTTTTTGTATTTAATATTTTTATTTTGGAACCAGTTTTGAATGTCATACCAACGTTAAAATATTTTTTTCTGATAAAAATATTATTTTAAGTGGAAATTATAACTGAGAGATTTTTTGATATTTTCGGGTTGGTCCTCACAGGAATAAATAAGAAAAAAATTTAAAAATGGGGTGAGGATGGGTAAATAATTTTTTAAATAAAAGTCCGCAAAAACTTGCGGACAAAAAATTTTTTCTATTGGTCAGTTTCGGGGTTGATCTTCACAGAATAACGGGGAGAGAAGAAAGGAAGACTGAACTTTGGTAAGAGAGAAAGAAACGAGGAGAAATTTGGAGAAATCCTCCTCAAATCCTATGAATTTTTATAAAAATCCGCAAAAAACTTACGGACATAATTTTGATAAAAATATTATTTTAACTGAAAATTATGATAAGTAATAGAGATTTTTTAAAAATATTTTTGGGTTGGTCTTCATAGATTTGAATAGAAAAGAAGATTAAAAATGGGGAGAAGTAAAGAATTTTTTTAAACAAAAATCCGCAAAATTACTTGCGGACAAAAAATTTTTCCTGGATTTGATTTTCACAGAAAAATGAGGGAGGAAAGAAGGAAGGAAGAATGGAAGAGGAAGGAGAAGATTAGGTGAGTGAAAAAAAATTAAAGAGGGTATTTAAAATATTTTTAAATTACTTTGTCCGCAAAGATTTTTTGTCCGCAAAAAACTTGCGGACAAAAATTTTTTTCTTTTGGTCACTTTGTTCTTAAGTCTTTTCTCTAGATCATTGGGAGAGGATCTGTGGAGGATTTGGATAAGTCGAGATTTATTTTAAAAAAAAGTATACAGTAGCCTCAAAAAATTAACAAAAAAATTTTTCCGTCGTCTGGTTTTTTACTTTAAAATTAAAATAAAATAAAATTATTATCTTTTGCCTGACTGATTTTTCTTCTTCCTTCTTTCAGTTTTTATCCGCATAACAGTTATTATTTTTTCTTATTATTTCTTTAACCAAATTTTCTTCAAAAAAAATTTTCCAAAAAATTTTTTCTGCTTAACATAATATTTCTTTTTTTAAAGCTTGGGGGGTGGGGAGGGAACGACTCTCATGGGAAAAACAAAGGGAGAGGAAGATATGGACTTTATTGGAACTTGTAATAAAAAAATGGGGTATTTCTTTTATATTTTCCTTCTTTTTAAGTTGCCATAACTTTATTTTCTTATGGAAAAATTTTTTTGTTAATTTTTTGTGTACATACTAATGAGGGAAAAATTTTTTTAATTTACTTCTCCTTTTTCTTTGTCCTAAAACAATGCAGTTTTTCTCAACAATTAATTTTTGATTCTATAGCTTAGCCTTCCTTTTATGTATCATAAGCTCTGACTTATCCCTCCCTAACAAAATCACAAACTTTGATCTGTCCCAAGGGTGGCCCTTTCCAAATCACCAAAAGGGGACATGGGCTCTCAAAAAGGGGGCAAATGCTTTCTAAATTAGGAGAAAGTCCACTCTCTCTGTCCCTCCTCCATGTATCTCTCACAAGCCCTGACATTGCCCTCTATCCATATATCCTATAAACTTTAGCTTATCCCTCCCTTCTATATATCACAATGACTTATTAACCTCTCACTTATCCCACATCTTTTTTAGAAATATTTTTTAAATACTTTTTTTTTGAATTTTTAAGAGTAACCTTCCCCTCAAAACACTCACCATATCAATAACAAAAAAAAATTTTTATATGCAAAAATCCTTTTCTTCTTCAAAAAATTATTATCAACAATGGAATTTAGGAGAATTAAATAAAGGAATGCAAAAAGAGGAGGAAGTAGATTTTGTTGAAAAAATTGAAATTGAAGAGGAGGAGGATGAGGAGGAATTGGCACCAGAAGAATTACAAGAATTGGAAGATCATTTATGTGAGATGGTTACCCCGAAGAATGTTTTGTTATTTGGAGGAAGAAATAGAAGAGTAAGGGAATAAAATAAAAAAATAAAGGACGGGAGGGACTTGGCGGATCTTGGGAAATCCACAGATATCTTAAAAAGGTCAAAAAGGGGGCAAATGCCTCCTAAATAAGGCAAAAGTCCATCCTGTCTGTCCCTCTTTCATATATCTCTCAAAAGCCCTTGGGAAGTCCATGGATATTCAGATCTGACCTGAAGACTTCTGACATCTGATCCGATCCGAAGATTTCCGAAGATCCGGACTTCTTTCGGAAAAAATTTTATCAAAGGAATTTTTCTGGATATCCGGATCTGCCAACCCTAGGCAGGAAAACCTAATTTTTATATGCCCTCTTAATACACGTCATTTTAAGAGACGTCCTGTTTAAAATTGGGTTGTTGGCCATTGAGGGGGGAGATCAGTGCTTAACGGATATTCTCGTATTTAAAATACCCCTAATTTATAAATAAGCCTAATTGCAAGGTCGAAATTTTTTTCAGCCTCAAGAGGGGTTCCTAAAAATGAGGTCTGCGATCATTATTTTTTCAAAAATTTTCAAAAAAAAATTCAAAAATTTTCAAAATTTTTCAAAAATTTTTTCAAGAGAACCCCCCTACTTATTGGTTCAAACGACGCTTCTTCTCGTTTTTGGCGCCCTCAATCATCTACTGCTACAGCAACAACAACAGATTCAAACAGTGAATTTGGTGGGGGACATTCATTAATAGAAACAAGCATTACTAACAGTAGAAAAAGTCAAAAACAAGAAGATGATGAATTTAGAGAGAAAGGAGCTAGAAAGGTTTTTTAAAAAAATTTTGGGTTGATTTTTGGGGGAGAAATTTTATAATTTAGGAGCAATCTTTTTTTTAATTTTAGGGGTGTTTTTTAATAGAAAATTATCTAAATTGGCGATAAAATAATCAGAAAAAAATCTTTTTTAGATTTTTTAGTAAAAAACGCCTAAAAAGAAGGTCTATTTTGACTATTTTTTATTCTAAATTTTTTTAATTTTCCCAAGAATTATAATTTTGGCATATTTTTGTAGCCATATTAATTCTCTATTAAAAGTTACAAAAAGGGAGGGATTTCATTTTTAAATTTATTTAGAAAAAAGATAAGGTGACAAGTTCTAGGAAAGGGATTTAGGAAATGAATTAAAATTTAAAAAAAATAAAAAAACCGTTTAGTAGAGGAATTTAAAAAAATTTTAAATTTAATTTTTCTTCTCTTAAACAGTACGCCAAATTAATTCTCCCACATGTTGGACTTGTTTTATTAACATGTTGTTACACTTTATTGGGTGCTTCTTTGTTTTATTCAGTTGAGAGGCCCAATGAATTGAGAGCAAAAAGGATATGTCTTGATAATGTATTTTATTTTTAAATTTAAAAAATTAATTTTTAAAAAATTTAAAAAGATTAATAAACGCCAAGAATTATTTGTTTCTGAATTGGTATGGTTGGCTGCTAGCAATTTAAGTGGAGAAAGAAAAAATTGGGAGAGAATAGCGAGAGAACACTTGTGGGTATTTTTATTAGAATTTATTTTAAATTTCCGGAAAGAAAATAAAATGTGCGCAATTTAAGTTATAAGGCGTAACAAGTTTTAGCGTTTGTAGGAAAAAGTTTTTTGTTGCGCACACTAATTTGTAAGTTTTAGTTTATCTTTTCCGGAAAAGTTTTAACTCTCGGAAAGTTCTATTTATTATTCTGGTAAATTATATATTATTAATATAATACTTCCGAGAGTTATATACTTTCCGGAAAGTTTTATATTTTCCGGAGAGTTATATAATTTCCGGAAAGTTTTATATTTTCCGAAAAGTTTTATTTTTTCCGGAAAGTTTTATATTTTCCGGAGAGTTAAATATTTTCCGGAAAGTTTTATATTTTCCGGAAAGTTTTATATTTTCCGGAAAGTTTTATTTTCGGAGAGTTATATTTTCCGGAGAATTATATATTTTCCGGAAAGTTTGGTAAATGTCCAGTTGGCGGTCTACATGTCCGCAAAGAGAATCTGCTCTTTTCTTTCCTTTTTTTGCATTTTTTGCGCTGGGAGAAGTGCTCCGCTCGTTTTTCCTTTTCCGCCATTTTCCTTCTCAATACAATATGTTTTCCTCTTCATACTTACAAAATAAAAATACCTCTAATTAGAAAAAATTATTTATTTTACAAATGATAGATTTTGGATTATAAAAATTACAATGATAAATTCTGAAATGTAGGATTATTGCTATCTTATAGCAGCTTTCTATGGCCTTCTAATAAGCTTAAAATAATAATCTAAAAAATTTCAAAATAATATTTAAGGAGGCATAACCTGTTCTACGTTGATTTTCGTGTTATCAGGATATCGATATTGAGTTAAGATATGGGCCCAGTTTTTATACATATCTATCCTCCTCCTAATAGTTTTTATCCGCCCTATATTTTAAATCTATTTGAAAATGTTAGCCAAAATCTATCATTTGTAAAATAAATAATTTTTTCTAATCAGAGGTATTTTTATTTTGTAAGTATGAGGAGGAAAACATATTGTATTGAGAAGGAAAATGGCAGAAAAGGAAAAACGAGCGGAGCACTTCTCCCAACGCAAAAAATGCAAGAAAAGGAAAGAAAAGAGCAGATTCTCTTTGCGGACATGTAGACCGCCAACTGGACATTTACCGAAAGTTTTATATTTTCCGGAAACATATATATTTCCTGGAAAGTTATATTTATTATTCCGTAAAGTTTTATATTTATATTTCCGGAAGGTTTATTAAATACCCAAAAGATCACCACTAATTTAAATTTAAATGAAGTATTATTTTCAGAGGGAAAATGAGCGATTTATTATTTCTTGGATTCGAAAAACATTTTTTAACTTCAAAAGAAGTAAAATTGAATGAAACAATTTCTGTTTGGACATTCTCTACGGCCGTTTTCTTTTCTGTTACGGTAAAATTTTTAAATTTCTCAACTGATTTTTTAAGGTTGTCTCAACAATTGGTTATGGCAATCCTGTGCCTGTAACTAGGGTATTATTTTTTTTTAATTCAAAAAATAATTTTTTTATAGATTGGCAGAATCGCCTGTATATCATTTTCACTTTTTGGAATACCTCTAACACTTGTAACTATTGCTGATTTGGGCAAATTTTTAAGTGAACATCTTGTTTGGTTATATGGAAAATGGTTAAAATTGAAGGTTTTTTTTCTAATTTTTTGAAAATTTTTTTTTGCGATTTAAAAAAAAATTTTAAAAATTTTTGAAATTTTTTTGAAATTTTTAAAATTTTTTTGAAAAATTATTTAAATTTTTTTCAGCGTTTTCTTTCTCTAAAAATATGTAGGAGAGGACTTATTAATGTGAAAGAAGGAAGATTTGACGTATCTAGTCATCAATATTTAAATCAAGAATTGGTGCGAGAAAATAGGTTAAATTTTTGAATTTTAATTAAAAAATTTTTTTTCAAAATTTTTTAAAAATTTTTTAGAATTCCAGCATTACTTGTTTTTGCAATTTTAGTGTTATACACAGCACTTGGAGGTTTATTAATGTCCCAGGTTTATTTTTAAATTATTTTTTAAAAATTATTTCTATTTTAGCTTGAACCTTGGAATTTCTTTACCTCTTTTTATTGGTCTTTTATTACAATGACCACAGGTTTCTTTTTTTAGAAAAAAATTATTTTTGAGGGATTAGGCTAAAACCATAGGCGGGTCAAGGTGGAGGACAACCATGCCTCATTCAAGCTAGGGGAAATGAAAAATTTTTGTAGGCAGATTGAAGGTTGGAAAATTAATTCCAAATTAATTTTCTGTTGTGAAATTTGCAAAACTAATTTTTCGCGACTATTTTCTGAAATGAAAATTTTTTTTCCCTTTCTTGCCTTTCTTGCCCCCCATTAAGTAAAATATTTTTTTTGGTTGTCTCTATTCTTGTTTAATAATTTTTTAAATTAAAAAAATTTATTGCTGACTTGTTTTTTTTTAATTTTAGTAGGCTTTGGTGACTTAATGCCTCGTAGGGATCATTACACAGCAATTATTCTTTTATATATTGTTCTTGGTAATTTTCTTCAAATTATTTTTGGATAAAATTTAAAATATTTTTTGCTTCTTTAAGGTCTAGCAATAACAACAATGTGTATAGATTTAGTTGGCGTTCAGTATATTCGAAAGGTTTTATTTAATTAAAATTAGGGTTGCATCCCAAACTCTAAGGGGAGGTGTGTCAGGGTATAACGTATTTTCTCGATTAATTCCCCTCCCTCGAACAAAACCCCATGCTAGAGTTGGGTGTAAACAATAATTCCCCACCCCCAAATACCCTACTTCACGTTTAAATGCCAAAACTCGAATAATTCCCCATGCCAAGGAAGGGCTGGAAAAATAATTCCCCAGGGGAATTACTCGAGAAAATCGGTAGGGGGTTTCAAATTGTTTCGGGTCGTGAATAATTGTGAAAAAATCGTTGGAGAACGGGGTCGGGGCTCAGCTCTAACCAAAATTTCTTTCAAAAATTTTTAGATTCACTACTTTGGTAGAAAAATTCAAGATGCCCGGTCAGCTTTAGCTGTTGTTGGTGGAAAGGTTTTTTTTAATTTTTTTAAATTAAATTTAAAAATCTCTTTAAAAAGGTTGTTCTCGTTTCTGAACTTTACTCAAGCCTGCTTCAAAAAAGGAATCAAAAAGGAGGAGGAAATGTTTCTTGCAACGGAGAAACTGCTTTTATTATTGAGGTTTTTATTTTTTTAAAGAAATTTTAGGGGTTATTTAAATTCAAAAAATTTATTTTTCAAATTTTTTGGATATATTTTTCGGTGGTTTGGATTGGATAAGATTCAGAAAAAAGAAAGAAATTTTTGCGGACTGAAATTTGCGGACAAGAAAATTTTTGCTGACTAAAATTTCTTATAAAATAAGGGAAACTGCCGTTGGTTCATGTCCAGTACCATGTCTTAAGCATATTTTACTAGCTTGTTAACGCATAATTTAGATCAAAGTCGTTATAAAAGTTAGTAAGTAGGTGTCCGCAAACATCAGTCCGCAAAAGTTGTCTCATACTAATTTTTAAATTTTAATTTTTTTTAAAAAGAATTTATATATCGACCCAAGTCGTCGACACATAATTCCATTTATTCCTGCTGATATTCGCCTCATCCGATTTATTGATCAACCTCCCAATTCATTATCTAGAACTAGCTCACAAGCAAGTGAAGATGTTAAGGGTTATTTTTGTTAATAATATTTAAATTTGAAAAAAAAGGGGGAAAATGTTGTTAATATTGTTTTTTTTAAATATATTGGTTAAATTTTTATATTTTTTAAATGAAAAAATACAATTGTTTACGAACAAAAAATATTTTTTAAGGTTTGCCGTAAAAAATGTGGAAATGTTATACTCTCTTCGACATTCTGTCAATTTCTGTCCTTTGTGGCATTTATGTAACTGACATTATGTCGTTTACTATCCCTTTAGTTATTTCGACGGTTTCCTATTCTCTCTGTTTTCTTCCCTATTCTTACAACTCTCTTCGACATTTTGTCACTTTCTGTCCTTAGTGGCATTTTTATAACTGACATTTTTTCGCTTAACATCCTTTTAGGCATTTTGTCGTTTTTCCGTTTTGATATTTACCACAATTATTTTCTTTGTACAGAAATTATCAAAAGACCAACTCTTCATGTTTTTCATTTGGCCAACTACCCATTATTTTTCCATTTTGTCTAAAAGGGAAATTTCCTGACCAGCCAATTTTTCATTTCCACATTGCAAATTTTATTTTTGAACACGTCAACAATTGTTTATTTTTTAAAAATTTAATTTTTTTAGTTTAATTAATTTTATAGAGGCGGTGTTTATTAAAAATGAATTGGCTTTATTTTTCTCTATTTTTCTGCTTATTTGGAATAAAAAATTCTTTTGGTTATTTTATTCATATCGATGCAAATGAAGAATTGTGCTTTTTTGATAGAGTAGTTTCTGGAACTAAAATGGTTTTCTTAAAATATTTTGTTTTTATTTCTAATTAGAGTTCAAATCCGGGCATGGATTAGCTTTTCTGGCCAGGCAGTCCGGACAACGGCTATTTCGATATTGTCAGGTCGTCAGGAGTTTTCGGGCCATTAGTGCCGCTTTAACCTGGGAAACTCCGGATCGGGTCTGTTTAAGATGAAAATGGTCGAGACTGGGTTTTAGGGCCATGCAGCCTGGAAAAAGAATTTTTGATAAAAACATGTTTGTGGTTTCTGTGTTTTAACCTGGAAACTCCGTCCTGGACAGTTTAAAAGAGCCCGACAATTTTAAGTTTGAACTCAATTGATAATTTTATTAATTATTTTTTAAGGGTTTAATGTTTGAAGTTGCGGAAGGCGGATTTCTTGATATTGACGTTAAGGTTTGTTAATTTTTTTTTGATTTTTTCTGATTTTTTGAGATTTTTTATTGTTAGATTGTTGGCCCGGACAATAGCGAGATTTATAAAGGTTTATTTTGTTATTTGTAATTTAATAGACTAATTTATAATTTTGTAGGCGAACGTGAAAGCTCAGGAAAATATACCTTTGGTAAACTTTTGTTAAAAACACTATGTTAATTTTAATTTAGAATAGGAGGTCGAGGGAAGATTTTCGGGGGTATTTGACTTTTTTTGTGGGATTTGACGGGGATATGATTTTCTCTTCGGGAGACTTGATAGGGGATTTAGTCTTTTTCTTCGCGTGGGATTTGATTGAAAATTTACTTTTTTGCAAGGGCGTAGCCAGAGGTAGGGGGGCTTCTGGGGCTATAGCCCCTTTTGAAATGGGGAAAATGAAAAATTTTGGCGCACACCCCATCTTAGCCCCCCCCCCCCCTCTGAAATCGACCTTCTGGCTACGCCCTTGCTTTTTTTAATTGATTTGACTTCTCTGAAAAATTTTTAACCTCCATCTCTTTTGATCCTTTCTGCTTTTATCTTTAAAATTATTTAAATTTTTTTATTTAGCTGCTCATATGGATGGTCCACATACTTATTGTTTTAGTAATAAAATGTCTACTATGACTCCAAAGGTTTCTTTTTCAAAAAATTTCAAAAATTTTTTTAATTAAAAAAATTGATTTTTAGGTTGTTATGTTTTCAATGGACATTTCTCAACCTAATGCCCATGCCCAGGAAGCTGATGGAAAAATTGATGGTTTTTTTAATTAATTTTAACGTCTTATTACTTGTTGTGTTTAGCGGATGGTCAAAAACTTGAAGAAATGATTAGAGAATTGTCAGCAATGCTTACAGCAGTAAAACATGAACAAGAATATATGCAAGTTCGTGATAGAGTGCATCGTTCAAGTTTGTTTATATTTTTTTTTCATTTTTTTGGGAAAACCTAATGGGGGATCCTGGCTAGCATTTAAACAGGCTGACTAGGCAGGGGGGGTTTCTCTTCTAAAAAAGAGAAGGGAAAACAGCGGCTGGGGAATTTACATAAGTTTTTATAGGATTTTCACGTGATGAGCGAAAGCTCCTAGCAATAATACTTTTTGGATATCCGAAGATCGATACCTTCCCGGGGCTTTATATCAACCCTATTTTCTATTTTGAATTTTAAATAATTGTTTTTCTCCAGTTTTTCTTTTTTTTTCTCTTATTTTAAATTTTATTTGAAAAATTTTTTTATTTTTTAGTAAATGAAAATACAAACAGCCGTGTTGTAATTTGGGCAATATTTGAGGCAATTTTGCTTGTTTCTATGACTATTGGACAAATTTATTATTTAAAACGATTTTTTGAAGTTAGAAGGGTTGTTTAAATTTTTTTTAAATTTTTTGGGATTTGAAAAAATTTTTTTTGTTGCTTTCTCTCTCATTATGGTCCTTTTTCCTAATTATTTATTTTTAAAAGTTAGTTTCAGTTATATATCCTAAAAATTATTTTATTTTTTTCCTCCTCTCTGGGAATATATTTTCTTTGTTTTCTCTTAATATTTTGATTGTTTATCTTTTTCCAAAAAAAATATTTTTTAGCAGCCCATTATTGTTGTATTTCCTTAAAAAAATTTTTTTAAAGTAAATATTTTTTAAAATTCTTTTAAAAATAGGTTTATTAAGAAATTACAAGTATACTGGGCTAACAAGGAATCCCATCTTTTACTCTAACTGCGAATTTGGTATTTTTTGGTACCATTCGATAGAGGACCCCCGACTTTCTATTGGAACGTGTTATCCATTTTTGTGCAAAATCACTTTGAGCCGAGTTAGGGCCGTTCAAAGTTACGCAAAAAATTAAAAGTTACTTCTAGTAAGAGTAACTTTTAATTTTTGAAATTTTTAAATAATTTTTAAAAATTCCACCTTGAAAAAAAATTTTTTGAGGTTCCTATTTTTAATATTCAAATTAGAAAACAGCCGAGAGAGTCGTTTTTCGAGGGTCGTTTTTCAAAAAAATTTTTAAATTATTTAATTTTGTAACCAAAAAATTTTGTTTGAAATTTCGTCTTGGTCAATCTTTAATTAAAAAATTAAATTTAGGCAAATTTTTTAAAAATTTAAGGGTTTGATGTGTAATTTTATTTTTAAAATTTAAAGTGCAGATATAAAAAAAGTTGTTTTTTTTGAACCCTAAAAATGATATGGCTGTCCAAAAAAGAAATGTTTCTTTAAAATGATGACCTTGACATTTTTTTTAAAAATGGAACCACCACCCGCACAATAAAGGGAATAAACCACCCACAATTAAAATGGATATATGTAACGGTTTGCACCCGTTTGTTTTGTTGTGTTTTTTAACCGGATAAGGAAAAGAATAGTGAGAGAAATAAAGGGGGGAGGAAGGATTGATCTGATTATAGTTGAAATGATATACTCTCCACACATTTGACCTTTTATTTTCTTCCTTTTCTATTTAAAATCTTCCTTTCTATCTTCCTTTATTTTTGGGAGACGTTTAAAAAATCCTAAAGAAGCTTGTGACAAATTTTTTTAAATTTGTTGCCAGTGTTGGCTATTGGACATTTGTTGACTCCGACCTTTTTTGAACCTCGGTCGGTGCCAAGATTTTCGAAACACTTCTTTTTGTTGTATAGCCGGAGCCGTGGGCAATTGAAAAACCTTAGCTCCGGCTTCGGGGCTTCGCCGTCTTACTGCAGAAATAATTGTAACTTTTTAGATATTTTTTAGGTAATTCAAAATGTATATTTTAAATTTAACTTTATTAATTATATTAATTTTAATTCAAATAAAATGGTCATTTGGATTTTCAAAAAATTTATTATTACCTCAAAATGAAAGGAAATTTCCAACATTTTTAATAGATTTTGAATTAGCTTCAGTCTTGTGTCAACATTCTAATAATCCTAAAGATTTACATTTACATGATATTTCTGTTGGGTTTTTCTAAATTTTTTAAATTTTAAAATATAGGAGAGGAGTGGGAGAAACGGAAGAGGTTATGTTGCTGATTACATGTTGAATATCGGATCCGGATATCCCAAACTTTTAAGGGGTTTGTCAGTCCATAATCCACCCTTATTTATAAAAAAAAGTGGAATTTAAAGAAATTTATCTGAATTATCTTTCAACTTTGAATATATATTTTTAATGCTTATTTTTGTGTAGATACTCTGTAATGGACATCAAGAGTGTTTTCAAAGGTTTCTAAATTTTTGAAAAAATTTCAAAAATTTTTCTAAAGTTTATACGGCCAAGATGACGAATCTTTCCCTCACTGCCGTCATTTACAATGTATTGGAGGATCAGAAACTAATAAAGATTGTAGTGGTAAAGGGGCTTGTATATTTGATGGATTTACAACTAGATGTTTTTGTAATGAAGGATATTATGGTTTAAATTGTGAATTTTTTGGTAAGAAGGAATTTTTTTTTGAAAGATTTTTTTGAAAATTTTTTGGCGAAAATTTTTGGCGGAAAAATTTTTTTCAAAAAAAATTTTTTTTTGGCGGAAAATTTTTTTTCAAAAATTTACAACAAATTTTTTTCGAATTTTTTGAAAATTTCAAAAATGATATTTTTTATCACCCAGGCAATAAAAATGAAGAGAAAGAAGCATTTGATGAATTTGGATTAGAATTTGGAAAAGTACTGTTAAATAATAAATATCCAAATGAAAGAAAAAATTGGTTAAAAATGAAGGAAATAATTAATGAAGCAAAAGAAGCTAACAAGAAACAAAAGGAATTTGGTTTGTTAATAGGGAAGGGAAGAATGGAAATGGTTGGAGGAGGAGGACATGAAACTTCTGCAGCAACAAGTAAAAGTGAAGCAAATACTGAAACAACTAATTTTGAAGCAAAATTATTATCAACTTCTGAAGCAAGTCTAATTTTGAACCTTGAAGCAACTTCTGCTTCAAGGTTTGAAGCAAGTACAAGAGGATATGATTCTGAAGCAATTTCTGCTGCAACTTCTGCTTCAAGTTTTGAAACAAGTCCAAGAGGATATAATACTGAAGCAAGTTCAATTTTAAATCTTGAAGCAACTTCTTCAAGTTCTGAAACAAGTCCAAGAGGATATAATACTGAAGCAGGTCCCTTATCAACTTTTGAAGCAAATTCTGAAGCAACTTCAATAAAAAATTCTGAAACAAATACAAGAGCATATACTGAAGCAAGTTTAGAAGCATCTTCTGCAGCAAATACAGAAGCAAACAAATTAGCGATTTTTGAAGCAACTGCTTCAAGTTCTGAAGCAAGCACAAGAGAATATAATACTGAAGCAACTTCAATTTTGAATCCTGAATCAACTCCTACTTCAAATTCTATATTGTATACTGAAGCATTTACTGAAGCAACTTCATTAAAAAATTCTGAAGCAAGTTCAATTTTGAATCCTGAAGCAAGCATTAAAGCAAGTAGAGAAACAACCTCATTGTCAAATACCAAAGCGACCTCCTTAAAAACTACTGGAACAACTTCAAACTTTAAACCTAAATCTGAAGCAAATACTGAAGCAACAATTTCTTTGAATACCCAGATAAATTCATTAAAACATTCTACAACAACATTAACAGTTAAAGAATCAAAATCTAATAAGCCAAATAATGAAGCAATTTTAGTAGATAATGAAGCAAATTTTAGATCAAATATAGAAGCAGCTTCTACACCAAATAAAGAAGAAAATTTGTTAGCAAAAACGGAAGCAGCTTCTTTAACTACTATTCCAACGGGCATTAAAGAGGCTTCAACCAAAACTGAATATGCTTCAACAAAAAAATTTTCGACAAATGAAGCAAATTTATCAAAACAGATGAAGCAAAATTTTCCGACTTCTGAAGCACCAAATACTGAAGCACCAATTACTGAAGCAAGTTCATTATTATCTTCCATAGCAAATTCTGAAACAAATAAAGTTTTTGCTTCTGAAGCACATTTGACTTCTGAAGCACCAACTACTAAAAATCCAAATTATGCTTCATCTTTATCTTCAACCTCTAAAATAAACACTGAAGCAAATTTGTTAACTGATTTTGAAGCAAAATCTACTATGCAACCTACAAGAGGATTAAAAATGATGACGGATAATACTGAAGCAAATTATGAAGGAAGCACAACTATAAAATCTGTAGCAACAACTAGGGAAACCGATAATAAAGAAGAAATTTATTTAAGAACTACTATGGCTAATGTTTCGCCTAATTCTTTGATAGAAGTTGAAGCAACTTCAGGTTTAAAGCTTGAGACAGCTTCTGAAGCAAATTTTTCTTCTGTTGAAACAACATCTTTAGCAAGTATTGAAACAACGTCAAATAATGAAGCAAAAAATGTATCAAGTATTGAAACGTCCTCTGAAGCAGGTGTTGAAGCAAAAACTATATTAAGTATTGAAGCATCCTCTAAAGCTAATATTGAAGCAGAACCTGAAGCAGGTATTGAAGCAAAACCTGTAGCAGGTATTCAAGCGTCTTCTAGATTAGGTATTGAAGCATCCTCTAAAGGAAGCATTGAAGCATCTCCTGAAGTGAGTATTGAAGTAAAACCTATAGCAAATAGTGAAGCATCCTCTAAAGGGAGTATTGAAGCAACTTCGATAAAGTCTGAAGTCAAAGATACTAAAACAAGTCTGAAAGAAAATTTCTTACCATCTATTACAGCTACACCTTTATCAAATATTGAAGCATCCTCATTAGCTTCAAAATTTGAATCAAACTTTGTTTCAACCGTCAAACCAAGTTTTTCAAATTCTGAAACAACCGTGCCTTCTGCTTCTAATTCCCGTTTGAACTCTAATAAATTGAATACTGAAGCAACTTCCGAATCTGAAGCAAAAGCAAAATCTCCTTTCGAAGCTGAAGCAGAAACAAAGTTTCCTTTAAAGGCTGAAGCAAAAACAAAGTTTCCCCTCGAAGCTGAAGCAAAACCTAAGTCTTCTTCCAAAGCTGAAGCAAAAACAAAGCTTCCCTTCGAAGCTGAAGCAGAAATGAAGTCTTCCAACTTTGAAGCATCAACGAAACCTCTCTTCAAATCTTCAACATCAGAAGCTGAATCACCTTCTAAAACAGACTCTTTAGGGAATAGTTCTACTGAAGCAACTTCTACAACAAATAACATAAAACCTGAAGCTTCAAAAAGTTTTACACCCCAAATTTCATCATTAAACACTAGAAGAAATTTTGAAACAAATTTTGCTTCAACCAACACTTTTTCTTATACTGAAGCTAGTCAAATAAGCAATTCTGAAACAATTTCTGCTACAACTTTATTTTCCCATACGGAAGCAACAGAACCTCTAATAAGTGTTTCTGAAGCAGATGCTTATATTAACAATGAAGCAACTTCTAAAACAAAAACTGAAGCAAGTTCATCAATAATTTCAGTAAATTCTGCTTCATCTTTTAAAGAAGCAACTTTAATACCGAAAACTGAAGCAGGCTCAACTGCTTTCAATCTGGCTAGTTCTGCTTCATCTTTTAATGAAGCAACTTCTACAAAACCAAAAAGTACAACTGAAGCAAATTCTATAAAAAATATTACAGACACTTCAAATAGAACCTCGTTTAAATTAATAAATGTTTCTGAAGCTTCAACAATGTTTCCATTCGAAACTGAAATAAAATTGAGGTTTAAACCTGGGGCAAGAGCAAAGTTTTTCTCCAAATCTGAAGCATCAACAAAGTTTCCTTCAGAATCTGAAGCAAGAATGAAGTCTTCTAAATCATCAACTGAATCTGCATCAACAATCGAATCTGTAGCGCCAACAAAGTTTCCTTCAGAACCTGAAACAAAAATGAAACCTGATTCTAGATTTGAAGCATCAACAAAGTTTCCCCTCGAATCTGAAGCAGAAACAAAGTCTCATTCCGAAGCTGAAGCAGAAACAAAATCTCCTTCAGAAGCTGAAGCAAACGTGAAAACGCCCGAATCTGAAGCAAAAATGAGCTCTTTTTCTGAACCTGAAACATTAACATCCGAATCTGAAGCTTCAACTCTTTCTTTCAAGTTTGAAGCATTAACAAAGTTTCCCTCCGAAGCTGAAGCATCAACAAAGTTTTCCACCAAACCTTTGGCATCAACTAACATTTTTAAAAATATTGAAGTAAACACAACTAAAGCAACAAGAAAACCAAGCACTAGAAGCAAAGAAATTTCTTTTGAAATTTTTTTAAATAAAATTGGTGCACGAAAATTGTCAACAGAAAAGCCAAAATTAAGTTCGGAAAATTCTGAAGCAAATTTGTTGAAAACTACCCCTTCTGAAGCAGTTACAGAAGCAAATAATACTGCAAATTTAATAAATAACGAAGCAGCTTCAACAAACATTATTAAAACTGAAGCAGAAACAAATGAAAATATTGAAACAAATACTGAACCAACTCTTGAAGCAAAATATTTAGTTTCCAATTTTGAAGCAAAATCTGAAGCAAATACTAGATCAACTTATCCTATAAAATCTGAAGCAACTTCAGAAATTTATTCTAAAAATGTTGAAACAATTACTGAAGCACCACTTTCTTTAGCAAATACTACGAATTTTGGTGCAAATGTTGCTGCTACTGCTTCTGATTCTGTAACTAATAGAGAATTTGAACGAGCAACTCCTTTAGCAGGTATTGAAGCAACTATTGTAGCAAATATTGTTGCAACTTCAAAACCTGTAGCAAGTGTTGAAGCAACTTCTATAGCAAGTAATCAAGCAACTTCAACTGTAGCAAGTAATGGAGCAGTTTCTGTAGCAAGAATTGAAGCAACCCCTGTATTAGGTGAAGCAACTTCAAATCCTGTAGCAAGCATTGAATCAACTCCTGTAGCAAATAATGAAAGAACTCCTGAAGCAAGTATTAAAGCTTCTCCTGTAGCCAGTAATGAAGCAACGTCATTAGCAAAAGTTAACTCAACATTAGCTTCTAATAATGTAGCAACTATAACAAATACTGAATCAACTTTACTCAACTCAAGAACGAATGTTGTATCAACTTCACCAGTTTCATTAAAACCAACATTTGCTTCATTAGACAAAAATGCTAAAGAAAATATTGAAGCAAATTCTGTAGCATTTGCTACGGCAAAATTTGTAGCAGAAAATACTGAAGCAGCTAATGATGCTACAACTTCAAGTAGTGCTTCATCTTCTTTTACTGGAAATATTAAACAGATAAACTCGACTTTAGAAGCAAATCTTAAAGCGAATAAAGTTGAAACAAAAACTGAAGCAACTTCACTCAATACTGAAGCAAGTTTTGTAGCATCAACTTTTGTAGCAAATAATGAAGCTTCTACAACTGCTTCTACAAATATTAAAACTGAAGCAAATTTTAATGGCACAACATCTGTTACAGAAAGTTCTGAAGCAAATTTTACTTTCTCATCAGGGTTCATATCCAAAGCAACAGAATCCTCCATAGCTTCAAATGTTTATGCTTCAAGATTTAAAACAAATTCTGAAGCAACGGCTATAGCAGCCTTAAAAACAACCCTAAAAACTCCAAGAAGGTTTACAAAATTGCAGAATTGTCTTCAAAATTGGACAAGAACGACACAAAATATTGGAAATGCTTCTAAAACAATTAAACCTATTGTTGAAGCATCTACCCCCTCTGCTTCTAAAAACAATATTAATGTTTCTGTTGAAGACTCTACTGTCCCTCTCTCTTCAAAAAATATTAGAGTTGTCTCTCCTCAAAACCACACTATTTCTCCAACAACACAAAATAATGAAAAAGCTTCCTCAACAATAAAACTTCCTATTGTTGAAGCATCTTCCCCAAATGTTTCTCTCAACAAAACTACTGTTTCTGTTCAAGACTCTACTGTCCCTCTCCCTACAAAAAATGTCTCTCCTCAAAGTGTTGTCTCTCCTCAAAACAACACTATTTCTCCCCTAAAAATTTCTTCTCTTGTTTCTACTAATTTTGGTTTTAATTGTTCCAAGTTTTTTGTTTTTATTTTCTTTAAATTTTTTTTTATTTTGAGAAACTTGCAACATTATTGCGGTCAACAAGCATTTTGTAGGTAAAAAAATTTTTTGAAAAATTTTTTCTGAAAATTTCTGGTCAATTTAAGTCATAAATCAGTCTGTCAGTGTTTGCCTGGTTTTTTCGGTTTTCCTCCTCTATTTCCGTGCAATGGTTTTTTATTTTCTTAATTTTCTACTATTTTTGATTTAATTTTTAGCAGAAATTTCGTTAAATGCTTCTTCCAATTCTTTGAAAAATTTGGAATGTTTTAACAATATAGACGGCAAGTGTGGCAGTAGATGTGAAAATGGGTACTTTTTAAATAGTAATGGCTCCTGTGAAGATGTGGATGAATGCAAAACAGGTTTATTTTTTTTAATTATTTTTTTGGTAATTTTGACTCATTGACTAGGATTCGGCTTAAACGGTTAACTGACAATGAACAGGGCCCGAAGACTGGAGGTACCGGTTGATAAACGATCGTGCCCATCCCTATTTGCAACCCCCTTTTTTTTCTTCCTATCAGGGATTAATCAGGTCGGGTTTTAAAAATTTTTTTCGAATCATCGGGTTTCTGGTCGAAAGAGAATCCATGTTTCGGTTATCCTTTTGGTTTTGGGTAACTCGTTCTATCCCTACTGCCTATTTCCAAATGAGGGGAGTTGGAAGTAAAGTCGAAAAATGCTCATTTCAAAATTAATTTTTTTAAAAGTTAAGTATTTAAAATTTTTTGTAGGTGTTGCTGTTTGTGGAAAAGAAGCATTTTGTCGAAATTTAGAGGGAGCATATCGTTGTGAATGTCCAAAAATTTTAAAAGAAGATGGACATGAATGTGCGGCATTATCACCAAAATCTATTAAAGAATATATTAAAGGTTTTCTTTTCTAAAAATTTTCAGAAAATTTTTTTAAGTTAAATGCTTTCGAGGCGAAAATTTGGAAAATTCATCAATTCAAGTTGTCTTTACTTCTAATGTTTGGAAACAATTTAAAGGCCGTGTAATTGTTAATGGCAGTCAAGCTGAAAATCCAAAATGTTTTAAAGACGTTAGTTTTTTTATTTTATTAATTGGGGAGTTTTCCTTCATACTCCCAAAAATCCGCAAGTTTTGTCCGCTTGTCCGCAAGTTTCATCCGCAAATTATAACATTTCTTTTTTTTTTCAATAATTTTGGAACAGATGACTCGAGCAATTCTTCAGTTCGATTCTTTGGTTTGTATATCGGTTCTTTTATTCGGTTCGTCAGAAGACGAAGGGTTCTGGTTTTTATTGGTCTTTTGAAATAGAAAATTTTTTTGATTTTTTTAGGTTGAAAATTTTTGTTCAAAGATTTTTCAGAATTTCTAATCCAATTTTTTCAAAAAGATTTTCAATAAGGATAAATAAATAGGAGAAGAAAATGGAAGAAATTTTTTTAGTGTATGAAACCTGCGGATAAAACTTGCGGACTTTTTAAATAGGGGTGTGGGTGCGGTCCAAAGGATCAAGTCGGGCATCAAATTTTGGTCCGAAAAAAACTCGGTCGGGCCGGACCAGTAAAATAAAGCCCGAAAAATTGCTCGGACGTCGGCTCGACTTGAAAACCCCAACCCTATTTTTAAAGCTTTTTTAATTTTAAAATTTAACCAATTTTATAAAGTTTTCCAGTAACAACAATAACAACAACAACAATTCCTCCAATTTTTTAATTCCTGCAAATGAATGTAAATTAATTGAAAAAGGAATAAAAATAAATACATTAAGTACACGTCTATTAATCAAACCAATAATTGAATTAAAATCATTTAATTATTTGTATATTCTTCCAATTTATTTTATTCAAATTCAATGTCATTTTACGGAAGAAGAAAAAAATTTGGCCAATTTTTCAAAAAATTTTACAAAAATAAATAAAATGACAACAAAAATGGAAATAACAAAGACACCGAAGATGACGAGCCAGAAGGTGTTGGAGGATGTTTTTGATAAGAAGATGATGAGGGGAATGACGAAGAGACCGTTGAAGGAAAAAATGGAGACGAATACTGAACAAATAAAAATTAAAAATTTAACAAATTTAAAATCAAAAACATCGAGAGAATTAATTGGAACAACAACAAAAAATAATTTGGCTGAGGAAGGACCTATTTGGTTTTAATTTTTCTTTTAATTAAATAATTATTTTTTTATTATTTTTTTAGTTTGTTGGATGTGACTGATAAAAATGGTGTACATGTTTTAAAAATAAAAGCTGGCGAGGTTTGAATTATTTAGGCTTATGTTAGATAATAGGATTTTTTAGGAAACAAGATATTTTTTGTCATATTTTTTGGAAAAAAAATTTTTAGAAATTTTTTTTCGAATTTCTAACAACTCTGTTTTTATGCTATTCCAATTTTTAAGTTATATTTTGACTTTCCTGGGACGATATTTTCAAAATTTGAATTTGTTAAGAAATTGAAAGGAAAGAAACCATTTCCTGGGGTAGCTATCTCCAACTTCCCTTTTTATGTTAATTTTCTTTGCCTATGTTAATTTTCTTTGCCTATGTTAATTTTCTTTGCCTATGTTAATTTGCCTATGTTAATTTGCCTATGTTAATTTTCTTTGCCGAGCTTTTAACTACATATTCCAAATCTTTTCGACAAATCTTATGACAATCTTACATAATCTAAATCTTATTTTTCAGTCATAGAAATTTTTTGTTTCAGACTTTAACGTTAACATTGAGACTTGTTTCTCGTTTATGGCAACAAAAAATTAGAAATATAACAATATTCCCAAAAAGATGTTATGCAATAAATTTGGACAATGGAGGAAGATATTGTTTAACAGATAATGGTGGGTGTGCTTTTGAAAAAGGATTATTTCCTGAATGGAAAAGGAAAAATAATTTTAAAGCAGAGGTTTATTTTTAATTTTTATTTTTTTTTGCGTTTGTTAAAAAGGGTAAAGGGGGTTGGTTTGGAACTTATTTAACTACCGACCCCGCAATTTTAACGGATGGATTTTTGATATGGACAATTTATAATCATTTGAAAGAGCTCGATGAGCTGAATCGAATGACACCAAAATCAGTCCGCGTTCTCAGGTCTGAGGTGAGACAAATGAGCTCAAAGTGGGCAACATAAATTTATTGAAAGTCGGCGAGGGAATTTTTCTCCAGTAAAAGGGGTTTTAGCAATTTCGGTCAAGGAGATATTGAGAGAGGGATTATGAAAAAAGTTAAAATTTTTCATAATTTTAAAAATCTCCGTCTGAAGAGTTAAAATAAAGAAAATTCTGGCTTCTTTTCTTCCAAAAATTGGAAATAAAAATACATTTAACATTTGCGTCCGGTATGCCAAAGTAAACGTCAAAGGTCCCATTATAATCCACTGAAAACCAACCCCTGGATACTCTTTAGTGTTTTAGTCCAATACTGACTGGAAATAAGCATTGTTGATCCTGTTATAATATTTTAAGAATATCCACAAAAAAATAATGTTCGCAAAAGGAATAAACTCCGCAAAAATAATATCCGAGCAAATTCCCTTTTCAAGTGTCAGAAAAATATTAAAAACTAAATAAATTTTTTTCAGGCCAATTTCTCAGCTTTTCGTTGGACAGAAACTAATACTGTTCGTTTTGAGTGTGATTGTAGTGTTTGTTCAGAAGAAAAATGTCCAAAGGTTTTTTTTTAATTTTTTGAATTTTTTTAAATTTATTTTTTTAAAGTTTGATTGTGAAAAAAGAAGAAATTTTCGATTTAAAAAATATTTTTATAACAATTGGGCTTTAAATGAAAATGATGAATCTTCAGTTGGTAATGAAAATTTGGCTAGTTTAACATGGCTTTCTAGACCATCTTCTTTGCCCGTTATAATGGAAGTTGAGGATGAAAATAAAAGGAAGAGAAGAAGAAGGAAAAGACAAAAAGTTTAGTTTATTTTAAATAATTTTTTTTTGATAATTTACAAGGGCGTAGACAGGGGGCTATTTCCGGGAGGGGGCCCCTTCCAAAGTAGGGAAAGGAATCCCGAAATGGGGAAAAGGAAAAAATTTTAGGAGGGGGTTGAGCAAAAAAACGAAATTTTTTCGCCTATGCACGTCCAATTTCTCAAAATTTAAGCCCCCCTGAAATTGACCCCCTGGCTACACCCTAAATAATTTATTAATGGCCATAATAACTAACGCGAATACCAACCACTCAAAAACGCCGAAATACAGAAAAAACCTTTCTTTACGGCAAGAAGCTAAATATACTTTTTACGTTAGGCATTCCAAAAAAGATGCTTTATAGCTAGTTATTTACCTAAAGTTCTCAAATTTTCGCCTGCGGCGCAAAAATTGGAAAGAAATATGCATGGAATCCTTCCTAAAAATGTCAATAAACATTTTCGAAGGGTCTTTAGGGGTATCAAAAAGTTTCGATTTAGATGGAACTGAGGAATTCATGAATATTTTAGCTAGATCCTTTACTCGTTGTTTGCGAAGTTCCTAGCAATAACTTTCCAAGGGGATTGGATTCTTTAATTTATTCACCCATACATTTTTCTTTCTTTACATGACTTCACTGGTCTTGAAAATGCTAAAAATTAAAATAAATTTTGATTTTAGGATTAGTTCTAATCATTTAAATTAAAAAAACTAACTCGAGGAATTCGTCTCGTTGGAGCTCATTCTTCTCCATCAACTTTACAGCCACCTAAAATTTATCTGATCTAATACTATATTTATGAGTTGTTCGTTTTCATCGACTCGACGTTGCGCCTCCTTTAGGTTCTTCTTTAGAATCTCCAAACATGCCTCATCATGTTTTTGTTTAGATGCTTCCGATTGTGAATATTTTGAATGAGAAATAAAACCTTTCATGATGAAGTTTTCTACCTAAAAATTATTAAGAATTAAAAATTCAAAATATTAATTAGTATCATGGAATGAGCAAGAAACCAGGCCTGGTTTATATCATCAGCTACCTAACTAGTGGGTGCTCCATTATATAATTTCATCTCACCGGCGACGCTGGCTAGAATGCCAGTCATTAATTTATTACACTCCTGTTCAGACCAAACAAGCTTAGATTGACAATTAGTGACAATAAGTAGGTGGTCCAGGAATACTAACCAGTTCTGCATGTTCAATAAATTTTACCTCCAAAAGTCGATTGGCCAACTTTTCCAAGAATTCCTTTTTTTTTGAATCTGATTTGCTGCTTTCAAGGAATTGTTTTGAGGTTTATCAGAGACCAAAAAAATAATAAACAGTTCTTTGAAAGCAGCAAATCAGATTCAAAAAAAGGAATTCTTGGAAAAGTTGGCCAATCTGGTTTCTTGCTCATTCCATGATACTAATTAATATTTTGAATTTTTAATTCTTAATAATTTTTAGGTAGAAAACTTCATCATGAAAGGTTTTATTTCTCATTCAAAATATTCACAATCGGAAGCATCTAAACAAAAACATGATGAGGCATGTTTGGAGATTCTAAAGAAGAACCTAAAGGAGGCGCAACGTCGAGTCGATGAAAACGAACAACTCATAAATATAGTATTAGATCAGATACATTTTAGGTGGCTGTAAAGTTGATGGAGAAGAATGAGCTCCAACGAGACGAATTCCTCGAGTTAGTTTTTACAATTTAAATGATTAGAACTAATCCTAAAATCAAAATTTATTTTAATTTTTAGCATTTTCAAAGACCAATAAAGTCATATAAAGAAGGAAAAGTGCTTGAATAAGAGAATATAATAATAAAATTAAAAATTAACACAAATATTTTTTTCTTGCCAAAACTTCATTGTTTGTGTGTATGTATTAATGTTTAATTCATTTGTCCACAAAAAATTAGTTTTATGTAAATATTAATTTTTGATAGATATTTTTCTGTAAAAAAATTTTTTTTAATATTTGTTTTGAAATTTTATTCAAATTACTTAAAAATATTTTTGACTTTAATTTTTTAAATTTATTTTTAGACAAAGGATGGGGCGGGTTTAGGAAAAAAAAAGTTTGTGTCGGGTTAGTTTGAAATTTTCTTTGGATCGTGTAAAAATAGTTTCAGTTTTGGATAACTCAACCCGTCCTTATTTTTAGACTTCAAAAAGTTTTTTAAAGAAATGGCATCACTTAATAAATGGCAAAAATTCATTTATCAATTAAATCAACAACAAAAACGTTTTAATATTTTTAACAAAAAAATTCAACAAAGATTTTATTTTACTTCTCGTCTACTTCCAATAAAATTTAAATTATTCTCTTTTATTTTGCTTACAAGATTTGCAGTAATTCAACCAATAATGAGAATAAATGACGATCCAGATGAAGAACAAATTCGAATGTCTAAAAGATTAAAAAGGTTTTTTTGTTTTTTAAATTATTTTTAAGGTTTGTTTTTTAAAGGTTTAGAAAATTTGCTTCAATTGAATATGCAGGGGTATATTTATTTTTTTGAATTTTAATAAAATTTTTAATAGTTTGAATGTTTTGGTTCCTAAAACTTTAATTTCTAAAATCTACTTAGATGCGAATTAAGGATCTATGAGTTCTTTATGAGAAACCCATCACTTTTCGGGATAAAAAGTGGTGGTTCTAGGGCTAGCCTAATCTTTGAATTCACCGAGTTTAACTGAATCCGATGTCTAGAGTGCAAAAATCCGTCTCATTGTCAGTCAGGAGGAATCCAGAAAACTTAAAAATGGGTGGGTTCTGGGTATAAAAATAAAATTATGGCCACTTTGCTCCTTTCGTTTTTCGCAAGTTTCCATTTCATAAGTCAGGCCTAGATTATTTTTAAATGTATTACTATTTTGTCTTTTTCCTTCATAATTTATTTTTTTCTTTTTTTTCAGGAGATTTTTATGACTCCACAAGATTTTCTAGATTCCCTTACACTTGATGAACCAAGAGGTTTTCTTTTTTTTAATTAAATTTTTTCTTTTATTTTTTCAAGAAAGAACATTTCGTAATGTAATAAACAAAAATCAAGTCAAAAAATTCATTCAAAATACTCCACCTTTAAGAAGAGGAAATTCAAAAATGTTTAGTGAATTGGGTGATAAAGGAATTATTTCTTACGCTGAATATCTTTTTTTGGTTACACTGCTGACAAGTATTTTTTTATTGAATTTATTAAGGTCTAATTTTTCGAAAGTTTTCAAAAAAAAATTCCGAATTTTTTTTTGAATTTTTTTCTAAAATTCTACTTGCCTCCCACATATGTCATGGGTCCATTCTGTCGAAGAAATATAATTTTGTTAAAATTTTTTTCCAAACCCATACAATGGTTCAAAACAGCACGTTTCATCGAGCTGAATGGATCAAATTAGAGGGGTCTGGATTCTCTATAATGTTAAGCGAAGTTTTTATAGAACCCAGACTTAGACGAGATCTCGAACAAAAATCTCGGCTATCGAGAATCGAGATTTTTCGAGTTAATGAGCTTTATTCTTCGAGCGCCCATCCGTGTTCTTCGAACGACCATATAAAAATGACTGGCCATTTTTTAATAATTTTAGAAAGGAAAAAGGGGCGGGGCGAATCGAACTATTACCTTTTATAGTCCTGTGACGGAGGGCATGTTACCCTTTTTTCACTTCTCTAATTTTCTCAAAATTTTTTAGAATCTCATTATGCCTTCACAATAGCTTTTATGATTTTTGATGAAGATGACAATATGCAAATTGATAAACAGGAATTTCTTAAGGTTTATTTTCTTAATTTTTAATTTTTTTTTGTTTTGCGGTGAAATTTTTAAATTTCTTACCCTGCACTTTTTTTGAGTTTTTATGTTGCTTATTGACTGTATTTTTGTTGTTTCCGCACTTTTTTTGTTTAAAATCTGTTTTTTGGTTAATTTAAGGGGTTTTGAATTTTTAAAAAATTTCCTCAAAATGGTCAAACGGTCAAAAATTTAAAAATGGTCAGAACCCAAAATGGTCAGAAAAAATTTTTTTAAGCTCAAAAATAAATTTTAAACGATTCATTTTGCACTGTTCCAGATTCAATATATTCTCATCCTTGGCACTCCACAAACATTGGAATCTTCAGATATTAATTTAATGGAATCACAACTGGAATTGGAAGTAAATTTTTAAATTTGTTTTTTTCTGTGATTTGGTTTTTTTCTTTTTATGCTTTAAGCAATGTTTTGTGAATGCGGATTTTGATGTGGATTTTCTTTCAAGAATTGTTCCTGCTACTAGAGAAAAGGTTTTTGTAAAATGTTTTTGTTTTTAATTTTGCGGATGTCCGCAAGTATTGTCTGCAAAATTTTTTTCGTTTTTTTCTTTTAAATTGAAAATTTTAAATTATTGGGACATTTTATCCTAAATTTTTTTCATTTGCGGACTGTTGAAGTATTGTCCACAAAATAATTTTTGGAAATATTTTTAATATTACCTCATTATTTATTCTATGTTTTTCCCCTTTTGAATTTTAAAATATTATTAAAAAAAATTTTTTGTGAAGTACATATAACTTGTTTTCCTTCTAACATTAATACTTTACCCTATTTAAAAAAAATTTTTTTTAATTAAAATTTTCTAAATTTCAGTTTGAACGATTGATCCATTCGAGTAGTTTTCGGCATAAAAATTTAGATAAAGATGGAGAGGTTTATTTTTGAATTTTTTTTTGAAAAATTAAAAAAAAAATTTTTTTTTAAGGAACAAAAACTTTTGGAAGCAAAACAATCACTCGAAACAACATTAACTGTTCATTTATTTGGAAGAAGTGGGCGAGATTCTCTTACATTTAAACAATTCCAAAAGTTCGTTTAATTTCATTAAAGATTTGAATTAAAATCCTTTTATTGGTTCTTCCCCAAGAAAATTTGGAAAATTTTAAAATTATTTTGGGCAGGTTTTGGAGGAGGTTACGACTATATTTTTTATCTCGACTTTGAATAATTAAAAAAATTTCTATGAAACTAAACTCGGAAAAAATTCATTTTTCGATAAATGAGCAGCCTAAAAATTCTTTGGCTAATTCCCTCCTTTTCTTGTTAAATACTTTTTGGTTCCGATCCGCAAATATTTGCGGACACTGGCCAAAATTTTAAAAATTAATTGCAGGGGTTACGTTTAACTTTTTGGCTAACTCCCTCCCTCCTTCATTTTCTAAACACTTGATTCGTGTCCGCAAATATTTGCGGACAAATATTTGCGGACACTGGCCAAAATTTTAAAAATTAATTTCATTATTATTTTTAATTTTGTGTATTATTTTTTAAAGTTTCTATCAACATTTACAAAAAGAATTGATAGAAATTGAATTTAAAGAATTTTCTCGTGGAAAGGATAGAATTTCTGCTGTGGATTTTGCAAGATTAGTATTGCGTTATTCAATACTTCATAAAGATGAAAGATCTCCTTATATTAGAAGAGTTTATGAAAGAAGTGAATATGATGAAGAGGTTCTTTTGAATTTAGAAAAACAAGTTTTTAATTTTTTGAAAAATTTTTTGAAATTAAATTTTGAGGGTTTTAGGCTTAAAATTCGACTTAAAAATTAATTTTTATTATCATCGCGGAAAAATAAAAGTTATTTAAAGTGTGGTTTACTCTAGGTAAAGTATGGGTCAGTGGTTCGAGTTTTTGGTTTCGGTTAGGACGTTGAAGGTTCGATTCCGTTTGGTTCGTATTATTTTTAAAGGATCCTTTTGAATCTTTAGAATTTTTGAAAAAAGTTTCGACTCGAAAATATTTTTCAAAAAAAATTTTTTTTAACTTGAAAACGTTTTTCTATTTATACCCCACCCCCTATGAAATTTTAAAAACTCGAAAATATCGATTTTCACGTTTTTCTTCCTTGTAAAAAACAGTTCCTGTTATTTAAAATCAAGAAAAAATTTATTTTCAACTTAAAAAATATTTTTTAGGGAATATCTTTACAACAATTTGAAACTTTTAGTATGTTTCTCAACAATTTGGAGGATTTTAGGTTTTTTTAATTTTTTAATTTATTTAATTTTTTTCTATTTTTTAAAGCAAAGCAGTTCGTCTATATGCAATTGCGGACATCCCCGTCTCTCAAAATGAATTTATTCGAGCTGTTAAATGTTCTACTGGATTCAATTTGGATCCTCAACTTGTAAATGTTTTGTTTAAAATATTTGATGCAAATGGGGATGATAAATTGTCTTATTCTGAATTTATTGCTGTTATGAGTGATCGGTTAAGTAGAGGATTTAAGGTTTTTTTAATTTTTTATTTTTTAAATTTTTTTAAACAGGAGAGAAAGTATTTTTCGATTTTTTAAATTTTAAAAATTATTTTGGAGAAGAGGGGTGGGGTACATTCTTTTTTAAATTATTTTCTAGATTTTATTTTATAGTTTATTTTGTTAATTTTGTCAAATTTTTTAATTGGAATTTTTTAACAGGGTAGGAAAAAAATAAATCTTATTTTTAATTTTTTTGGTAAGTGAGGAGCGGAGGGAGGGGGTGGTGTAGAAATGAATGAACTCCTTTTTTTCTATTAAAAATTTTTTTAATTTTTTGGATTCATTTGTGAAAAAATTCTAATTTTTCGAATATAAATTTTATACAGATTTTTATTTTTTTAATCTAAAATTTATTTTTTAAGACACATCCACAAAATTCATTGTTTAGTTGGGATCATTTTCGCCGTTGTGTTCGAAATGAAATGAAAGGATTATCTTGAAATATATGTATTTATATTTTAAAATTGGGTATATATTTTTTTAATTTTGTCTTTTTTCCGGTGCTGGGTTTAAAAAATTTTTAATTTTTTTAAGATTTTTCGAAAAAATTTTTATGATTCTTTTTATGATTTTCAAATATTTTAGAGAATTTTTTAGGAAAAAAATTTTCGGAATTTTTAAAAAGCCCAAAAATCAAAATTTCTCCCTTTAAAATGAGTAATATATAAAATGCTTTTTTGTTACTCATTTTTATGTTTATTTTTTAATTACTTTTTTTACATACTTGTAAGTAAAAAAGCATTTTATTGAAAAGTTAAATTTTATTTTTATTTACCTAACTTTAGGTAAATAATTTTTTTTAAACTTTTCACAAATTTTTTGAAAGCTTTTTTTAAAGTTTTATTTTCGGCCTAAAACAAACATTGCAAAAATCAAAAAAAATTTTTTTAAAGAATATAAACTAAAAATCACTTACACACATTATATGTACATACATATTATTTTGCATCAAGATTTGAGAGGCGCAAAAATGTGTGATGTGATTTTTTAAGGTTTATTTAAAATAAAAGAAGAATAATATTTTTTAATAAAAGTTACAAAATTTATTTTTAACTTTTTTTAATCTTTTATTCTAAAACCTTTTTTAAAATATTTTTAAAATATATTTAGTATTATAAATATATTTTAATCTTATTTTATAAAAAGAAATGTTTGAATTTTGGTCTATAATCAGGATACAAAAAATATATTGTATTTTGTGTTAGGGGTTTTTATGGACTTTTGTTAAATATAAAAATCATTTTATTGGCAATTGTGTTATTGTCAGTTTTCCTAATATCCGAAAATTTAGGAGGGTTCGGTTGTCTGTTCCATCTCTATCCAAATATTCCCTAGAAACCGTCAACCCGTATCCAGATCCAGGCATTTTTTGATCGTCCTGGGTTTTTCTTGGATCCAGAATCCTGTCCAGGTTACTAACCTAAATCCAGATCCAGGATTTTTGAAAATACCGATCTCTAATATATGGTTTAAGCTCATATATACATCTTTGGGACCGAAAAAATTTTAAATTTTGAATCAACTTCGAGAACACTTAAAAGCACTTTCTAATTTATCCCATTGTGTTTGAGGAAGTTTTTTTTTCAAATTTTCGATGATCTGAATTTTTGGAGGGGAGGGATGAAGTTTGAGGTTAATAAATAAATACATAAATAAGATTATCCTTTCATCTTAAGTGGATATAAAATTAATTTTTTAACGATTTTGTTTATTAAAAAAATTTTTTTTGAGTTCATTCGTACTCAAAAAAATTTTTTTGTTGTTTATTCCAAAGTTAATAGATTTTCAAATTTTTTATATATCATTTTAATCCCCCTTTTAAAAAATAAAACAATAAAAAAATTAATCGTCATTTTTTCATTGTTTTATTAATTTTTACAAATCTCTCTCCCCTCTCCACCCTCTCAAATAAATTTTGTATATATAAACAAAATATTTTGTTTATTTTAACTCTGAATTTTTGAGTTTGTGACGTGGCGATACACTTGCAGAACGTCACTATGTTGATGTAGTCTTAGACTTTAGAAGTGTAAAGCATTAACCTGCACCCTCATTTTTATAAGAATAATATAAAAGATTTGTCCAAAATTTAACGTTCTGGAACTTAACTGTAGAAACGAACACTTTTTCTGTTTAGTTCCGAATATCCAAAGAGATTTTTAAATAACCGACATGCCATGATTTATAAAATTGCGCGCGTCTTGCAAAAAGATAATGGTCAAAGAGAAGTGACAAAGTCGCGAGCGATTTGTCTCTCCTCCTTTAAATCGGACTTCAAATGATTCTAAAGTTTTTGATTTTTATTTTCTTTTTTTCCTTCAATTTTCCTCCACCCTCACATTTTTGAAACTAATAACAGTTTAAAAATAAAGATTTCCATTTTTTCTGATAAAAAATAATTTGTCACCAATTTTTAATATCAATTTCCTTTTTGTCTCTCCCTTTCTTTGACGAATTCAAAAAAAAATTTAAGAAATGTATATGTGAAGGTGGAAAGGCCATAAATAGTCTTATTTAATAAATTTATCAAATAATTTTGGGGGAAATTTGGGGGAAAGTGGTTTGATTGTTTGTGAGGGTGGAGGGCGGAGATATTTTAAAGGAGAAAAGGGAGAAAAGATTTAAATATTTTATTAAAAATTTTTTATTTTTTTTGTTTAATAACAACACCAAATTTATGTAAATATACAACACGTACACACCAAAAGGTGGGTGGGTACACCCCAACTTACCGAAAGGCCAACTTACTGTAGAGCTCTAACTTCGTTAAAAATGGTCGAATCCGGGACGACCTGGTATGGTTCGATTCAGCCCGTCGAGGCGCATCGAACCATACTAAGGCGTCCTGGATTCGACAATTCTGAACGAAGCTATAGCTCGGCGATAAGTTGGGCTCGCGGTAAGCTGGCCTGCTCCCCTCCCCCTCTCCTCCCTCCAGAATAAAATAAAAAAAAATTTTTTTTTGATACCACCCTCTCTCCCTATTTTTATTTTAATATTCCTCCCTCCACCCCCGCAATACAAAAATTGTCGTGTGTCTTTGAATTTATTATCAGTTAATAAAAATAAAATGAAAATTTAAAATTTGATTACCCAAAAATACTCATATTTCTAATCTCTCTTCACCTGACCACTTTAAATTTTTTTATGAAGATATAAAAATTTAAAATTTGTCATTATAAAAAATTTTTTTTTAAATTTTACTATAACTTTAAAAAAAAGCCTAGGACGTTAACTAAATGCTGTAAAGCATTTAGGTATTTAATTCCTAAGGCTGTGCAGTAGGCGGCGTGGTGTAATGGCTAACACATCAGTCCAGTCTACTGAAGATCAAGGATGGGCCGGGTTACCCGAAACCCGAAACCCGATCCGAAGAAAATTTTGAAAACCCGACCCGAAACCCGACCCGACTTTTTTCTCAACCCGGCCCATCCCTGCTGAAGATGCTGGTTCGCTTCCAGCCGCCGATTAACCTTTTGCACTAGCTAAAGGAGAGAAATAGCTATAGCTGCTTTCCTATGCATTTTTATTTGAAAAATGTTGTTGTTGCGCACATTAAGTTAAAAATTTTTTTGTTTGTATTTAAACTTAGGTAGAAACATCAAATAATAAATTTAATTGAGATCCTTTAACTTTAATATTTCTCAATTTAAACAAAAAAAATTTTTTTTTTAAAGCTCTCGAACAATGTTTGTCGAAAGATATTTAAAAAAATTCCCCCCCCCCTCCCCATTTTTCTCCACTTTAAAAAAGCGTATATTTTTGCTCTTTAAATTTTGTGTTCTTCCTTTTTTTCTTATCAATTCTTTTAAAAATTAATTCAATTTTTATTTAAAAAAGAAACAAAAGTCTATTGATTGTTAAGAAAAATTGACTGTTAATTTAATGGGATTACTTTAAAAATTAAAAAATACTAATTGTTGTTCTACTCTCTCCCTTTAAAAATGCTTGATCGACAACAAGAAATTTGTAGACCTTCTGATTTTAAAAGGCTTGGATTTCAAAGTAAAAAAATTTTTTTATTTTTGGAAGGCGAACACTTCATTTTAGATACCCCTTAGGATTGGGAGAAAATATCGTATCCTTCAACGAGGTTATTTTAGCTTGAAAGATATTGGGGCTTAATTAGTTTTGGATGGACTACTTACAATTAGTCACTAACCAAAATTAATTTTTAATTTTCTACACAGCCGAACACTAATTTTTAAATACCCCTTGGGATGAAAATATCGCATTTTCTGATGTGTATCAAATTTAAAATGTATTGGGGTTAGGTCCTTCACTTTGGCCTTCCTAACTTAAAAACCCATCTTATAATGTGGTGCTTAATGTTGGGTGTATCTTAAATGAGGTTTTCGACTGAAATTTAACTTGAGATTTACCCTTTCTCACTTTGACCCATGGGATCTGGACCAATTTGGTATTTACCCTTTTTTATTTTGACCCATCTAGTCTGACCCTTTAGGCTTTTACCCTTCTAGTGAAGGTCTTAAAAAAAATTTTTTTAATTTAAATTTTCTTCAGCCCTATGTGCCTACGTCCAAAATCATTCCCAACATTGTGAGGGTGGCGGTTATTTACCTTGGACAGAATTTAAAGCTTGTGCGTCTTCCTCTTCAAATTTACAATTTTTAATTGTTATTGTTGCATTTATCTTCTTTTTGTTTTTATTTTTACATTTGAGTGTTACAGCAGATTCTTTTTTCTGTGAAAATATTGCTACAATTGTTGATGTACATAATATATCACAGAATATTGCGGGCATTACTTTTATGGTGAGTGAGTAGCAGAGGTGGGCCGGAATTCCGATTTCCGAAAATTTTGGCTGATTTCCGATTTCCAAGTTCCGGCTTTTGAGGCATTTCAGATTTCCGATAGTTCCGATTTCCGGCACCCTCGTCATTTCCGACCCACTTCTGGTGAGTGGTGTTTTTTGAGGGGAGTTTGGGATACTATAGTATTCGTATACTGTATCAATTCTTGTTGGGTTATGTGGGTTCTGACCATTTCGAACTTGACCTATTTGAAATTTACTTTTTTTTTGACTTTTGGCCCTTTCGTTTTGACCGTTTTGTAACCTTTCATTTTGAAGGTTTTTTGGTTTTCAAAAATTTTTTTAGGCCTTCGGCAATGGTGCCCCAGACATTTTTGGCTCAATCGTCTCTGTTATTTCCGTCCCAAAGCCTAGAGCTGATTTAGCAATAAGCGAACTATTAGGTGGAAGTATATTTGTAACAACTTGTGTTGTAGCCGCAATAGCTTTAAGCAGGCCATTTTTGTTAATGAGAAGGCCAATTTTGAGAGATATTTGTTTTCATTCAGCAGCACTAATTTTACTTTTAATTGTTGCAAATTGGGAAGGAAAAATGCCTTTATGGCAGCCTTTAGCCTTCCTAGTCCTCTACACAATTTATGCAACAACAGTAGTTTCCGGAAACTTATTTAGACAAAAAATGTTGAGAGAAAGAAAAAAGAAGAAGAAAAGTGAGGAGGATTTAGGGAAAGTTCAAAGAGCAATTGCTAAAATTATGCCAAAAAAGATTACGCCTTTAGAGATTTGTGCTATAGAAGAAGGAAAACCTCCAAAAAATGAAGAAAATAAGAAGAAAATAGAAAATGAAAAGAGTAAGGAAAAAGAAGAGACGGACAGACAAAATGTAAGTTTGGTCTCTTAGTTTTACGTTGTCTCTAATTTCCGGAATATTTATTATTTATACTTTCCGGAATTGTCAAGTTGAAAGAAATAGTGTAGAGAAAGTGGAGACAGACAGACAAAATGCCTCTATTTTATATTCTGTCTAGTTTCCGGAATCTTTTGTGTCTAGTATACTTTCCGGAATTTTTAGAGTTTGGAAAAGGGAGAGAGACAGCAACTTACTCTTTGTTTCACGTTTTATAGTTTCCGGAATTCTTTTTCTCTGCACTTTCCGGAATTATTATTAACTGTGCGCCAAAGATTGTTTTTAACGTAAAACGCCATAATTGCGTTTTAAAACATTTCAGAAAAATTTTTTGGCGCACATCCACTTTTTACAAAATTTTTTCCGGATTTGTTTTTAACTGTGCGCCAAAATTTTGTTTTCAACTTAAAACGCCATAATTGCGTTTTAGAACGTTTCGAAAAATATTTTGGCGCACATTAACTTTTACAAAATTTATTTTTTCCTTTTTAAAGGCTCAAGATCAACAACAAAGACAACGTTCAGTACTTCAACTTCCAATTAATACATTAACTATTCCAAAAATAACAACAAATGTTTGTGTTGATACTCCAGAAGAAGAAGGAGAAAAGGAAGAAGAATTCCATGCATTAGATTATTTAGAGGAAGGCAAATTTTTTGGAAAGGAAGAATTGGACGCGGAAGGGGAAAGGGCTTTAAGTAGATCAACTTCTCCTTTGCCGTTGGATATTTCTGGAGGTTTTCTTTGAATTTTTTTAGTTTTTAGTTTTCGTTTTCCGCGACTATGACCACTAAACTTTGAATCTCTATAACTTTGTAATTTCGGGTGGGGTGGAAAAAAGTACAGTGTCCCTTTTTAGATCATAAAAGGGAGAATTTTTAAATTTCTGAGGTTCTGACAAGGGTTGCCGTGGCCCGCAACCTTAGTTCTGACATTAGCTTTTCTTAAAACAGCTTTGGGGTAGCTCGTTTGCTTATAAAAATTTCTTTAAATTTTCTCTCTTTAAAATAGATTCAGGTCGCTATTATGGTAGTATTTCATCCCCCTCATCAACAACCCAAACAATAAAAACTGCCGATAGTGGAATAATAATAGATTGTGGTAGAAATACTCCTTTATCCCCTTCTGGAGAAAGTGCATCAACTCTTTCCCCTTGTAGAAGTGAAGTGGAAATACTTGGAATTAAAAAAGAAAAGGAAGAATTTTACAATAAAGAAGTGAAAAAATTTTGGGAAAGAATATGCCCTCTAAATTGGAAAAAATTTCAAAATGCTGGATGGGCAGGAAAAATTTATAGGATATTAAAGGTTTGTTTGAATTATTTTTTTGAAGTAGAGGGGTATTAAAAAAATTTTTTGGGCTTAGTTGACCTCCCAAAAATTTTTTTTGGGAAAAAAAATTTTTGTGGACCTAGTTGACCTCCCAAAAATTTTTTAATCGAGTTTTAAGTTTTTTTGCTGACTCAGTATCCAAAACCTAGGCTTTTTTCGACCCAAAATCCGAAACTATCCGAAGAAATTTCTAAGCTGCGATTCGAAAATTCCTTTTTAAAAATTCCTCAAAAAAATTCCCTCAGCTTGGCTCATTTCTGTTTTCGAGCACATTTTTTTGTCGCCCGATTCGTTCTCCGGCCAAATTTTTTATGGACCTACTAGTTTACCTCCAAAAAAATTAGGAGACCTTCAATCAATAAAAATCAGGCATCTTCTGATTTTTATTGGCAAGCCGATCAGACATCTTCTCGATGCCTGATCGATTTCTCAGGCCGATTCGGACAATGCCAGGATTCCTCCCTTGTCAACTCCCTTATCAAATAACTTTTATTCTCTTTTTAAAGATTCCTTCATTACTTTTGCTTGGTCTAACAATTCCTAGAGCTGGAAAATGGTCTAAACTTTTGGCTATAGTACACGCATTTCTTTTTCCATTAATACTTTGTTGTGCCTTTAAATGTAAATTTTTCTTTAAATTTCTTTAAAAAAATTTTAAAATTTTTTTCCAGTATTTTCTCTCCATATATTCAATTCTTTAATTACAGCAAACTATATTGCTTTAATTATTTCTATATTTTTGGTTATATTTATTGGAATAACAACTGAAATAGATAAAGAGCCGTGTTATTATAAGGTTTATTTTTTTGTGATTTTTTAAAAATTATTTTTTGAAATTTTAAAGTGGATCTCTTCACATGTTGGTTTTGTACTTTCAATAGCTTGGATTTATGCAACAGCAGCAGAAGTGGTATAAAATTTTTTTATTTTTTTGGGGTAAATTTAAAAAAATAAAATTTTAATTAAAGGTTCCTTTCTCCCTGTCTCCTTTTTATTTAAGAAATTGGCTTAGGGTGTAAAGGAATTGGACTGGGGTGGCATTGTTTTTTTGGAAAAAGGTCACATGTTTATAGGTATTATACTTAAGTGTGGTCGCCGTTCCCTCTACTTGATCTTTTAATGTATTGGACTTCAAAGACTTACCAAGCCGGATTTGTAGACTGATCCAGAGAACCCGTTTGTCACTAAAGCCTGAGATGCCGGGATTTCGAGAAAATGTTAATATCCTGTTCCAAATTTCCCTATTCTATTATTCTTTCGTTAAATTAAAAAAAAAAGAGAAAAAGGAAAAGTCTTTTGTATTTCTCCCACTGGAATTTTTTTATTTTTTAGAATTTCAATTAAAAATGTCTTCCTAATTTTTCCTATATTTCTATTTTTTCAGTTAAATGTAGTTTTAATGCTTGGAAATTTGTTTAATATTCCATATCAAATACTTGGGTTAACTGCTGTTGCATGGTTTTTTTATAATTTTTTGAAAGTATTAAAATTAATTTTTTAAAGGTGCAATAGTATTGGTGATTTAATAGCAGATGTATCAGTAGCTAGGCAAGGAATGCCCAGAATGGCTTTGTCTGCAGCTATAGGAGGGCCTCTTTTTAGTTTGTTGAATTTTTTAAAATTATATTAGGGGCGGGATGTTTTATGCGTTATCTGACTTTTCCCTTCCCTCGTTGACGCCCTCCAACTTATCCTTGCCTTTTCCTTCTCCGACTTATCCCGCCCCTTTATGACTTATCCCTTCTTCCTTCGATGTATCTCTGCCCTCTCCGCTTGTCCCGGCCCTCTAGGAATTATCCCTCCACTTTCGGACTTATCCTTGCCTTTCCTGACTTATCCCTTACTTCTCCGAATTATCCCTTCCCTCCGACTTATTCTGCCCCTCTATGACTTATCCCCTCCTCCTCCGACGTATCTCTGCCCTCTCCGTTGTCCCGTCTCTCTCGGAATTATCCCTCCACTTTCGGACTTATCCTTGCCTTTCCTGACTTATCCCTTACTTCTCCGAATTATCCCTTCCCTCTGACTTATTCCTGCTCTCTGATTTATCCAGTCCCTCTCTGACTTATCTCTTCCATCTATGGCCTTTCCTTCTTTGACTTGTCCTCCCCCTCTTCGACTTTTCCCTTCCCTCTACTGGAAATCTGGAGTTTTTTATCAAGTCAAGCCGCATAAAATTTCTATCTCCTATTTATTATAAAATTTATTTTTATTTTTTAAAGATTTAATGGTTGGATTTGGTTCATCTTTTACTATAGCTAAATTACAAGGAAAAGAAATCACGGTATTTAATTTTTAAATTTTTTTAAATTTGGCTTCCCCTGTAAATATATTCCAAGTGTTCCTTCCTCAGGTTTTATCCCCTTCCTTAGCTAATCTCCGACGTATCCTATATTCATGTCCACGGCCAAGTCTGGTAAGGAATAATCTATGAGGGCACGATGACAAAATTTTAAATAAAAAATTGGGATCAAATGTCATTTAATTCAAAAAAATTTTTTTTTCAGATTAGATCAGATCCAGTTAGCAATGTAATGTTTCTTTTCCTTGGAATTTCTTTATTTACAACTTTAACATTTTTATTTTCACAAAAATTTAATATAGGAAGATTACATGGTCTCACATTATTATTTGTTTATTTAATATTTATTATTTGCGTAATTTTATCCCAATTGAGCTTTCTTCCTTTTCCTTTTTAAAAGAAATTTTTTTGAAAAATTTTTCAATTTTTGATGTAAATAAAAATTTTTTAAAAATAGAGTATTTTAATTGGGTACAGCCCAAAACGGCGCGAGGCCATACCGACGCGAAGCCATAACTTGCTGGAAAATTTCTGGCCCTTAACAATTTTGGTACCAATCTCTTTAGCTCGATGAGAGGAATCGTTTAACACTAAATTTGACAAGATTCGGGAATCTTGAAGCAAGTTATGGCTTTGCGCCGTTATGGTCGCGCGCCTACTTGGGCTGTACCATTTAATTTTATACGATACAAGTTTTAATACTTTGAGTCTATTACCTTTGATTTATTCAAGTGTTTATTATTTTTAGACTCTAATGTTCTCTGTTTTATTGAAGAAGTGTTAAAGAGCTGTGGAAATAGTGTGTAATTTTGAATAGATTTTTGCCGCGCATTTTATTAATTTTTCGACAATAAAGAAAAGAGTGCAGACTAGAGAAAAAGACAAAATATAAAGTTTTTAGAAAAGTTTTGTAAGAAATTTTTATGCTTTATCGTGGTTTTTTCTTGAATTTCTTTAGAGTTATTTGATTGATTTTTGTTAATTTTTCAAAAGTTTTTTCAGTTAAATATTAAAAAATGGCTTCTCGACCTTTAGTTTCTGTTTACAATGAAAAGAATGAAACGACTGGAGCGCAAATCAAGCTTCCTGCAGTCTTCCATGCTCCGATTCGACCAGACATTGTTAGCTTCATTCACGACCAAATGAGAAAGAATAAGAGACAAGCTTATGCTGTTTCGACTGCTGCAGGTTTATAATCTTTTTTTTTCTAAGAGTACTTTGGGGGTAGATTAGTAGCTTTTTGGTTAGATAAAATACTCGTCCTTTCGATGGTGTTGCTTCCCCGGTTATTGATTTGTTCACGCCTGGGAAATACCTTTTCTAGTTGCTTCTATTGACAGTTAAAACCTTTACGAGCCTACTCATACAATTAAGGATTTGGGGATATACTTGGGGGGGGGGGGGGGGGCTTGGCAGCCTAGCAACTCTACGACGGTTTAAGTTAGTAGCTTCGGGTATCGTAGGATCTCTGTTGCTTCTATGAGTGTACTTCAAAAGTTCCTTCAGTCTCGGGAAGCTCCTTCATTTTATCCCTGATATCCTCATCCAAACCCTCTATGGGTTTATTCATACAACCAGAAGTTTAAGGGTACTTGGAGTGACTTAATAGCTTAGAAATTCTACTCCCAATTCTTATTCAGGTCACCAAACATCTGCCGAGTCATGGGGAACTGGACGTGCTGTTGCTCGTATTCCTCGTGTACGTGGTGGCGGTACTCATCGTTCTGGTCAAGGAGCTTTTGGGAATATGTGTCGTGGTGGTCGTATGTTTGCTCCAACAAAAGTTTATCGTCGTTGGCATCGTCGTATCAATATTGCTCAACGTCGTTATGCTGTTGTTTCTGCTATTGCTGCAACTGGCGTGCCAGCATTAGTTCAAGCACGTGGACATGTTATTGATCAAGTTAGTGAAGTTCCATTGGTGATTGCGGACAAAATTGAATCGTTCACTAAAACAAAGGAGGCTGTTGGATTTTTGCAACGAGCTAATGTTTGGGCTGATATTGAAAAGGTTTTTATAAGTTATATTGGTACAAGGGAACTTGGCTCACTTTTAAATATTAATCGAACATTCTTAGGGCATTCTAGATTTCAATGGATGGTAAGAAATCGGGTTTATCAGCCTTTTGTGTGGGCTGACCTTTGGCTTGTTTACTTTCTTTGGGTCTTGGGCTTCCGGTTGATCTTGGGGTGTTGGGGCTTTCTTTTGGTATTGGGACAAGCTTTGGATATGAGGACTTTCTCTGGGTATTGGGACTTAAGCTTGATCTCTCTATCTTTATCTGGGTTCTTAAGCTTTTCTTAAGTTTTAGTTTTCGATTAACTGAACCTACGCCGTAAGAGATTGAAAACCAATTTTTTAGAACGAACGGGCTTATTTAGACATCGTCTGGACATTTATCTCTTGTCCCAAAGAATAGATGAATCCAGATCACCGTTTACCTTTTCCAATATATTATTCTAACAGATCCCAAGGGCCTATTCCGAGTTGAGAATCTTTTTACTTTTCCCCGTATTTCATCCCCACAAATAAAAAAAATTTTTTTTCTTAAAAAGGTTTACAAATCCAAACGTTATCGTGCTGGCAAAGGCAAACGTCGTAATCGTCGCTACAAACAAAAACTTGGTCCTCTAATAATTTACAACAACGATGGTGGAATTGTTCGTGCTTTTCGCAATATTCCTGGAATTACTCTTTTATCTGTCAAACATATAAATTTGTTAAAAATTGCTCCAGGAGGACATTTGGGACGTTTTACAATTTGGACAGAAAGTGCTTTTCGTAAATTGGATTCAATTTATGGAACTTGGACACAAAAATCTTGGGTCAAAAAAGGATTTTCTCTTCCACATGCAAAAATGACAAATTCTGATTTTGCAAGAATTATTCGTTCTGACGAAATTACAAAAGTTGTGCGTCCTGTCCGCAAGCAAACGAAGGTTGCAAAAATTCATCGTAATCCTTTGCGAAAACATGGTTTAATGGTCAAATTAAATCCGTATGCGTCAGTTCTTCGTCGTGCAGCAATTTTGGCTTCGAAAAAGGGAGAGGAGAAGAAAGCAAAGTTTGGATTTTTTTAAAATTTTTTATTAAGAATATAAGGGCTGGGAAGGATAGAAGGGTAGGGATATAGGGGGGTAATTTAGGAATTTCTTGTGGACTCGTAGAAATAAGTGGGGGTAGGGATAGGAGGGGGATAAAATTTGTAAAGTTAGTTCCCTAGGAATTTTCTTGTAGACTCCATTTATGCGGGAATGAGAGGAGAAACAGTTCATTTTTCAAATATATCAATAGAAAATAGTGATCAATTTTTAGAATATCCCAAAGGATAGTTTTTACCGTGGCAAGTTTTTTCTAACAAAAATTTTTGTGGTTGTTCTTTAAGAGGTTCTTTTTTTACGAGTCATTAATACTTTTTGGATGACTTGTTTAGAATTTTTGCAAAGGTCACTTGGGCTTATAAGTATAGGCTGGCCGTAAAAACATAAAAATTATAATTAAAACTTTTTTTTTTCAAATTTAGAGGAGCTGAAGTTAAACAAACAGCTTGAATGTGGACTATAATTAAATGAAAAGTTGTGAGGAATTGGGAGGAAGTATTATAAAAGTATATTCTTTTTGATTTGTTATTGTTGAGAAAATATTAAAAATGATATTGTGTTTGTTTTTAAATTTTTTAGGAAGAGGGGGTTTTTGGAAAATTTTTGAGATTATTGGGGTTTATAGGAGTTTTTTAAAATTTATTTTAATTTAACGAGGCGTAAGTCGATTCTATTTGTTTTAGTGGAGTGAGTTGGGGGTTGAGAAAAAATCCGTTGACTTTCTGCGGTGAATTTGGGGGCCGCAATTTTCCAGTCTATGGTCTTTAGTTCTTTTAGTAAATGAGATTCTGAAAAGTTTTTCTGGAAATTCAGTGTTCCTGTTGAAAAAGTCATTAGTAAAAGAAATATTCTTTCACTTTCATTGAAAATTTCTAATGTTTTGTACGTCCCACACTAAAAATATGTAAAGGTTTACTGGAATGTTTGGAGCGGCCAGATCCAAAAAATTTTTTAAATTAAATTTATTAACGAGATAATACAATATTAAAATTAAAGTTTTTCTACATTAAATTTGGCATAAAAATAAAATTATATATGAGGACAAAATAGAAATTAAAAATTATTTATATTTTTTCTTGTTCCGGAGACTTTTAGGTAAAAAATGCATTAAAAATAGACCTGATTAGACAACTTCGACCGCTAGAAAAAAAATTTTTTTTAATAAAATGTAAAATTAAATTAAAACCTTGAAGTGCTCTACCTGTTTGATAATTATTTCCTTGATATTGATGAGATTGATTTCCTCTTGCCGCTTTTTGTGGAAAATATTGGCCGTTACCCGTACTGAAAAAAATTTATTTTTAAATTAATTTTAAATTGTTAAGGAATTTTTGTTGAGCCTTTCCATCCCTAAAAGTTAAACCAAGTTCGAATTAGACTAAAAAAGAGTTAAGGGGCTCGACTATATGTTTTTAGAGGTCGAAGCTTTAAGGCTTGTTATGGAGACGAAAAGTCCGCAAGTTTTGTCCGCAAATATTTTTTCAAGGAAATGATTTAGAAGAATATGACTTTTTGTTTGGGCCTTTTTTTTGTCTAGGCCACCTAATAAATTTGAAACGGAAAAACGTCACTCAGAGCCTTAGACCAAAAAATTTTTAAAAAATCTAAATAAAACCTTGTAAAAATAGGCAAAAACCACTTGAACTTTTCACTTCCAAAAATATCAGCAAAATTCATTTTTACACCCAAATTAAAACCATTTCTATCTGGTCCATAAGCAAAGACTGGTGGACGAAAAGATTCTAGAAAAGAAAATTTTTTTTAAATTTTGGCTCTACATTAAGACATGAGTCCCATGAAATTTTATGCGACTCATCAGAGTATGAGTGGATATAGAGGGGTGTGTTTGGGTGATTATGAGGAAGATTGTGAAGCTTCTTACGTCCAAGTCTGGCGGATTAAGAGTATCTGGAGTTTGGGGCTTAAGCGGGATATTCTGAAAATATTGGCGAAGAGTCCGCAAGTTTTGTCCGCAAGTTTTGTCCGCAAATTTTTTTTCAGGGTTTAAGGTGGATATCGAAAGATTTGGAAAGCTTATAGAAGAATTGGGACCAGGCCCGTAGCCAGGGGGGGGGTGAGGGGGGGAATTCCCCCCCCCCCCCCCGAAATGGGAAAAAGGAAAAAATTTGGGGAAGGGCTGGGGCAAAAAAGTGAATTTTTTTGGCCTACGGCCTCTGAAATTTTAAAAATTTTCGCCTGCGGCGCTAAAAAAGGAAGAAATCTGGCTTCTTGAGGTCCAAAATTCAAAAAATTTTCGCCTGCGGCGCTGAAAATCAAATTTTTGGCGCCTGCGGCGCCGAAAAAGTGAATTTTTTTGGCCTACGGCCTTCTAAAATTCTCAAAATTTTCGCCTGCGGCGCTGAAAATAAAAATTTTTGGCGCCTTCGGCGCCAAAAATTTGGCGCAGAAAAAATTTTCCCCCCTTTCCCCCCCCCCCCCCCCCGAAAAAAAATCCTGGCTACGGGCCTGATTGGGACGTAAATACTCTAATGGGACTCAAATAAAAGTTCAAAGGGACGCATTTCCTAAAGTAGAGCCAAAAAATTTAAAAAAAAACAAAACAAACCAACGGTTGAACGATTTTTTCCAGTCAAAAATAAATGATAACCAAATAGGCATCCCAACGAAATTGCAAACATTCCAGTTACAAAGAAAAGAAAAAAGACAGTTATTCGTAAAAATGAAACTTTCATTGGATCATCTTTTGACCAAAAATTTATAAAATGTGGAAGAATTGTGAAGAAAACAAATGCGCACATGAGGAATCCGTAGCCAAGAAATTGCATAAAAAATTTGTAGTTGCGATAATTGATACAGGTATTTACCCTTGAAAAAAAATTTTTTGAGAATTACAAGCTTTTTAAGCATAATCCGCAAATTTTGTCCGCAAAAAATTTTTAAAATTAAAAATCCGCAAGTTTTGTCCGCAAATTGTTTTTGTAAGAAAATTGATTTAGAAGGAAGAGATTTGGGAAGACAAGATGTAAAATTAGCTTTTAAAAATATTTTTTGTTAAGGAAAGGAAAAGTCCGCAAATACAGGAACAAATTTTTGGAAAATGGTATTTATGGAAGAAAAGGAAGCTGAAACCATTAGGATTGTGCTAAGAGATTAAGCTAAAAACGAGGTTGCTTATAACGAGGTTTTTTCTTAATAAAGGTTTTGGGTAACGGCGCAAAGCCATACCTTGCTTCAAGAAACCGAATCTTTCAAAATTTAGTACTAAACGATTCTTCTCATCGAACTAAAGAGATTGGTACCAAAATTGATAAAAGCCAGAAATTTTTCCAGCAAGTTATGGCTTTGCGCCGTTATGGCCGCGCGCCTAATTGGGCGTGTCCCAGGCTTTTTCTTTAAAGGTTTCTTTTTAAAAAAGCAAAAAATCAAACAAACCATGGGCAGTGATGATCAAATTTTCTGAAAATAAAAAATAAATTCAAAATCAAAAAATTTAAAAAAAAATACTAACAAAACACAATGGCCACAAACAGAGCAATGATGAGCACGATCAGGTTTAACACAAGAACATTTTAAACAAAAACGTATCCCTCCATCATACCCCCTAGTTAACAAAGGAATATTCCTTTCTTTAACAAATTCTTCCAATATTGAACGAAATTCATGATCATTTGTGGCAGCAGCAATATATTCACGAACTTCTATAGGTATATGAAACTGTGGGGGGAAAGGAAAAAAATTAAAAAAAATTTTTTAACGAGGGGTCTGTTTAACAGAAAAAATTGTAAGGGACTCATTTCGAATTCTTTTGTTTTCTTTGTAAAAAACGGTTAGAGAGCTGGGAGTGGTGTTCTACAAGTTGAGGGCTCTGCTTCTGGTTCGTAAATTCCTTCTCGATAACCTTGGAAGGACTACAGGACCCGAGAAGGCGCAGCTCCTCTTTTATATGTCAATGTCTTTAGGGGACCTATTTTTACTTTTCTCTAATTTTCTTATAAGCAATTAGGGTTGTTAGTAGAGTTGCCAAAATGGACCGACTCAAACTGAAAGATCGAGTCGGGCTTATGTTAGATGTTTGGCCCGAAAAGGACTCGTACCGGCCCGACTCGATAAAAACAAGCCCGAAAAAAATCCCCGACCGTCGGCCCAACTCGAAAACGGCAACCCTAGTTGTGAGTGTGTTTTCAGGGACCTAAAGAAGTGGATGAATTCGTCCTTTCTACTCGAAAACTTCGTAAGAACCCAGGAACCTGGTCAAGTATTGACGCAGCCCCTCTCTTACTACATCAATGTTCATAAACCCGCTTAGATATTTTTTTAATTTCCCGTTTTTCTTAAATCCAAGGGTTTCCCCTTGCATTGGTTCATCTCCAAAAAGGTCAGAAAGTGATCGAAAAATTAATTCGGACCCAGAAAAATTTTTTAAAGTCCAAATTTCCCCAAATTATTTTTATAAAAAATTTATACCAATTCTGAAGGCTTTCCAATCGTTGAGATCACAGTTTTAATATATGACCATAAAAACATAAATAAAAGCAAATGGACAATTAAAAGATAAATAATTCTAATAATAACATCATCCAGAATTTCTTTAAAAAAAAAATTTTTTTAATTTAAAAAAACTTACTAAAGCAAAACTCAATAATATAAGTATACCAAGCCCAGCAAATAATTAAAAGAACAAAAACAACTGGAACCCATCGAATAATCGAAATAAATCCTTTAATTAATCTGCTACCAAAGCATTTTCTCATTCTCTCTGAAAAATTTGAAAAAGATTTTTTGAATAAAATTTTGATTAAAAAAAGACGTTAAATTAGTCACTAATTTGGTGACACACGCAGTGAAAAACACTTAAAACAATTTACCTTAAAAATTGGCCAAGAAAGGGCCCGATTAATTGCTGTTGAATAGCTGTTGAATACACGCTCTCTTTGTTTTGCATTGTCTCTCTTAATTTACATTTTTACATGTCTAACGTTTTGTGTTAAATACTAGAGAGGTGATGAGAGAGTGTAATAAAGATGAGAGAAAATGGGTGAGGGAAAAAAAGAAAAATAAGATAAAGGGGAAAAGGGGAAAAGACAGTTAAATTTCAGATTTTCGTGGTGAAAAATTTTTCCAAATAAATTTCATTTGATCGAATTTACAAATTTTCGGAAACTTTCTTATTTAAATGTTCTTTGTTTATTCTCTCAGTGTCCTCTTTTAAGTTGAACTTCTTTTATTTTTTTCCTTTCTGTTTAGACTTTTGCCGTTAAAAATGTTTCTTTCTCTTCCACCTGAAGTACAACTTGATGTTTTGAAATGTCTTAATTTCGAGCAATTATTCTCTATCAAACAAACCAACTTTTATTTTTGAAATTTAATTGAAAAATACGAGGGAGGATTGGCAAGAATGAACGTCTATGAACTCTCAGTGGTAAATATTGACTAATTTTTTAGTTAAAAAATGAATAAATAATTTTAGATTGACACCAAAGAAATCTATAGTCAAGATTCAATAATTAAACTTGAACCTGCAATTTCTGAATTTATTTTGAATGATCAACTCATGAAGAAGGTTATAAATTAATTTTTAATATGGTAAAATTCCGAGTATCTTCCATACTCTGATTTGGACAAACAATATTCACTTGAAAGAGCTCGCAGAGCTGACAAGTTAACCACTCGAGAGCCAAAAATTAGCTAATGCCATCGTGTAAATCATGGGCGTTAACGTATTGGCTTACGGCTTATTGAAGTTTTTAACGGAGCAGCAAAGAGCCCTCATTTATTAAAGCGATAAATGAGACTTAATCTTTCCTTTCCTCTTAGAGAAATCTTGGTGAAAGAAAAGTCGAAGACCCGTGAGGGCTTGTATCGCGGCCCTTAATTGAGTCCATAACTTAATTTTTTGTTATTCGACTTAGCTCTATGAGCCCTTTCAAATGACATTGTTTGTCCGAATTGGAGTTAGGGGTAAAAATATATCCTTAGATATAATGGAATTTTCCTTCAAATTAATTAAATTATTTCGGCTTTTTTCAGTGGAAAACAGCGATAGCTGAATCTTTGACATTATTTTTACGAGGGTCTGAAGATGATATTGAGGAATTTGCTGTTCAGATCAAGAAAATATGTCTTACAGGTGGGTTTTTGCTAAACCGATTTCGGCTTTTACCTTTAGAACTATCTCTGAATTTTTCTATTTAGAGATTAAAATATCCCGTTACACTCTAAAATTGCCCAACATCCCAAAAACTATAGAAGAAATTATTGTTGTTCGATTTTGGTTAGAGCGACTTTTTAATTGTGTTTTTAAAGAGGCCGACTTTAAAGATGTTATATTCAATCCAAAAATGATCAATTTATTATTCGACAATGACAAAACAACTCTTAAACAATTTCACGTTCAACGCCTCCATTTAATGGGTAGCACTATTAAAATTGAAAATATTCTCAACTTTGCTTTAAATCGTTTTGCAACTTTCAAGTCTTTTGATATCAATTTCAATCAGCATGACATTTCAGAACAACAAATTGATATTTTATTCAATATTATGATAAATGAAGGCAATAGATTACCTCGAGTTTCTTTCGGTGATTGTGATTCTTTCAGACTTTATGATCGCATTGTTGAAGTAAAAGTTATCTATTGAAAATTGAATTTTGTACATCCATCAGGGCTGCACGCAGTTGCGTATTGCGTGAAATTGCGTGTTTTTTGACTTGCGTCTGATCCCTTTTCAGTTGCGTGCAGCTCTGGCCCCCACCCCCCTTTTTCCGTCCAAAAAGTGAAAAATGGTTAAACTTAAAATTTGTTTCAAACCTTACTATATGATAACTACCCAGATGTTTTTTAGAGCAAATGTTTCGGGACTGTGAGTGTATACCAGAACTCTGGGTGAGTAGATCTCTCTATTCCCTTAAAAATTTTATGAACCAATTGAAGTTGTGGTACACACATCTAACATTGACTTTGTTCTAACAAGAAACCTCGGGTGCCATAGAATAATCTGTCCATTTTTCAGAAAAAAGTGGGGGGAGGATGGTTACACGAAATTCAATTTCAACAGTTATCTAGAAAAAGGAAATAAATTTAAATTTTAGTACATAACAACATCAAAAGATTTCTCTAAAATGGTGTATAGTATTAAATTACATTATGATTCATTTAGAAGTGTTAAATTATCTGAGAGAGCAAAAAATGTCGAAAGTATAAATCTATATGGTACAAGATTTACAAAATACGAGATTGTCAATAATTATAATCCAAAAGTGAAATTTTTATTCTTCAATCGTAGATATGGACCATATTTTTATGTTCATATCATAAAGATGAAAGAATGTTTAATTTGGGAGGATATTGTAAAAATTTTGTTAAGTTAGTGGACACAAAATATTTAAAAAATATTATTTAATTTTTTTCATTTTAAATTAAAATTTTTTGTTTATTTATTTTCATCATTTTTAACAGTTTAAAGCCTGCCAATTTATTTTTGAACATTTTTAAAATTTAATTGTCTAATTTAATTGAATTCCTATTTAACTGTTTAACATCTAAAATGTTGCTATATAATTTTGACAGTGACTGAATTCGACTAAACTTTTTTTCGGTTCTCGATTTTCGACAGTGACTAAATTTCGACAGTAAAGCCTATCTTTTAAAAAGTGCGAATAATTTAAAAGTTGAAGGTTTTAAAAATTGATAAAATCTAAATAATGTGATTCAGATTTAACTTACTTTTAATAAACACATTTGTTATGACTATGTAAAAATCGCACATCTGGAAAACAATTTGAAAGTAAACATTTTTATAAAGTGCAAAGCATTGTCCTAAATATCTGAAAGAGATTTATTAAAGAAAATGATTATTCAAAACTTTTTAGAAAAAAATTTTACTTTTCTCAAATTATTCGGACTTTATAGAAATTAGTCTTTACTGTCGAATTTAGTCATTATCGAAATTATCAGACACGGTTTAAAATGCTTTCTCTTCCACCTGAAGTTCAATTTGACATTTTAAAATGTTTTAATTTCCAACAATTATTCTCGCTTAAACAAACCAATTTTTATTTTCGAAATTTAATTAATAAATACGAGGGAGGATTGGCTCGAAAGGAATTCTATGAACTCTCATTGGTAAATATTGACTAATTTTTGATTTGAAATTTGATTTTAGATTGCTGCCAGACATATCGATATTGACGAAATTGAGTCTTATGTATTTATTAAACCTGAACCTGTAGTTTTTGGATTTGTTTTGACTAAAAAACTTTTGGAGAAGGTTAAATAAATTTTTATTTAGATCACTTTTGTATTTTTCAGTGGCAAGCAGCAATAGCTAAATCTATTCCTTTGTTTTCACATGTTAGAGATGATATTAAAGACTTTGCTGTTCGAATATACAAAACAGGTCATAAGATAAGATGGAATAACATTTAACTCATCTTGCTGGGGAGGGAGGGGGTGTTTCATTTGCCCTTCTCTCCACTTTTCCTCTAGGCTTTATCGCAAAATTTTTTGTACACAGTAATTTACTCCTCTAACCGGTTAATGTTAAATTAATTTACTCCATGGATTAATTACTACCTATTTATTTTATCGTAAAATTTTTTTATTAAGATAAAAAGAAACCCATTTATATTCTAAAATTGCCAAACTACGCAAAAACTATAGAAGAAATGGTTACTGTTCGATTTTGGATAGAACAACTTTTTAACTGTGCCTTTGAAAATGTCGTGTTTGGATATGTTATGTTTAATCCAATAATGATTAATTTATTATTTGGTAACGACAAAACAATTGTTAAACAATTTCAAGTTAAAAACTTCCATATAAACGGAAGCAATATTATAATTGGAGATATTTTGAAATTTGCTTTAAATCGTTTTGCAATTTACAAGTCTCTTATCATCAAACCCTTTGCGGGCTATATTTCAGATCAACAGGCTGATAGTTTATTCAATATTATAATGAATGAAGGCTATAAATTACCTAATGTTTATTGCTATTTTCGGTCTTTTCATCTTTATGATATTGTTATTGAGGTAAGAGTTGTCTAAATAGGCGATCGGCCATAACAGTGCAAAGCCATAACTTGCTGGAAAATTTCTGGCACTTATCAATTTTGGTACCAATCTCCCTAGCTCGATGAGAGGAATCGTTTAATACTAGATTTTGTAAGATTCGGAAATCATGAAGCAAGTTATGGCTTTGCGCAGTTAGGGCCGATCGCCTACTATGACTGTACCCGTCTAAATATGCGAGTTGGAAATAAATTTAAATTTTAGTTCATAACGACGTCTAAGGATGTTTCAAAAATGGTGTCTGATATTGTCTTATATTATGCTTCACCCAACAATTTTAAATTGCCTGAGGGAGCAAAAAATGTTAAAACTAATGGTTCAGAATTTACAGAATACCAACTTGGCAATATTTATAATCCAAAAGTGAAATTTTTATTTTCCAATGAATATGTTCGTGGAGATGATTTTTATGCTACTATTACAAAAAGGGAAGATTAAAATTTGATAGGACAGCGATATACATATTGAAAAAAATTTTTTGATATTAAAATTTGTTTCATTTTATTATTTTCTTCGTTTTTTAGATAACAGTTTGAAGTCTGCTAATTTATTTTTAAACATTTTTAAACTTCAATTCTTTACTTTAATTTGAATTTCTTTATTCGCTCTCCTTGTTTTACATTATCTCTCATAATTTGCATACATTTTAATGTCTAACGTTTTGTGCAAATAATGTGGATGAAATGAGTGTGGTAATTTATGAGAGAAAATAAGGAATAGAAAAAATAAAATAATTTTTTAAAAATTAAAAAATATTTGTCAGTTTTTAACCATTAAAAATTATATTAAAATAAAAAACAATTTAATCAAAATTCAATGAATCCTACAAATAATTTTTAAAAAATATAATTTTTTGTTTTTCAATAAATAAAAATGAAAAATCCGGTCTCTTAATTCTGCTCTTCCAATTTTTTGATTTCAACCACAAGAGATGATTCATGTCCAAATTTGCCTATATTATCTCGATGAAAAAATGAAAATTTCGCTTTTGGGTGATAAAAATTGGAAATTTGATATTTTGTAGCTTCTAAACCATATTTCCGTATATTTTCAATTTTTTCTGCTCTTTCGTTCAATTTAAAATTTGGTATTATACAACAATTCAAAAGAATAGTAGGCACAATATTTGAGACATTTTTAGATGTTGTTACATACTAAAATTAAAATAAAATTAATTCAATTCATCTTAATCTCGATCCCAAAGGGTGAGGTTCAATCCTAATTTTCAATAAATAACTCACTTCAATAATACGGTCATAAAGTCTTGAAGGCCTAATACGGAAAATGACTTTAGGTAATTTATTGCCTTCATTTATTATAATATTGAATAAAATATCAATATATTTTTCAATAATGTTGTCCTGCCTAAGAACAATTTCAAGTTGCCCGTAAATTTCAAAATGTTTCAAAGCGAATTCAAAAATATTTTCGTTTATAACATTTCTAGCCATTAATTTGAAGTTTTGAGCATAAAATTGCTTAAGAATTGTTTTGTCGTTATCAAATAATAAATTGATCATTTTTGGATTAAATATAATATCATCAAACTCAGCATATTTAAAAACTATATTAAAAAGTCGTTGTAACCAATATCGAACAGTAATCATTTCGTTTATTGTATTTGGGATGTTTGGCAATCTCAGAATATTAATGGGACCTTTGTAAATTAAATATTATAATAAAATTTAAGCTTGCCCCCCCCCTTTTTGCTCATTGGTATTATAAATCTTACAAGACTCGAAAAGGTATGTTTGGCTGCCCTTTTCCCTTTTTTCTGACCATTTTGAGCTTTTTTGCTTGACATATAATATATTATATATCATTTGAAACAACTCGTCTTGCTGTATCGAATGATACCAAAATTGGCTAGATTAAAAGATTAAAATAAACTCAAATTAAATTGATTTTGTTTCACAGACACAGCTCAAAGAGCTCTTTCGAACGATATATAATTTGCCATAAGAGGAAAAAATTGAAAAAAAAATAGAGAAGAGGGGGATGGTCAGCCAAACTATTACCCTCAAAAAACGAGTGATGTCTTTTCTGGTAACGAATATAACGTATTTGCTCAATCTCAACAGCAATGCATTCACCATTATTTTGAATTTTATCTTCAACACCATGTAAAAACAGAGGAAGATACTCAGTCATAGCTTTCTCCCACTGAAAAAATACAAGCAATCTAATCAAAATTAAAAAGTAATTTAACCTTGACCCTAAGTTGATCAGTCAAAATAAATTCATAATTTACAGGTTCTATAGATTGACTATAGAATTTTTTGGTAACAATCTAAAATGAATTTCTAAATAAGAAAATTTGATTTAATATTTAAACCAATTTAAGTTTATAGAATTCCAACCGTGCCAATTCTCCCTCATATTTATTAATTAAATTGCGCAGATAAAAGTTGGTTCGTTTAAAAGAGAATAATTGTTTGAAATTAAGACATTTTAAAACATCAATTTGAACTTCAGTTGGAAGAGAAAGCATTTTTAAACTAGGAAACTCTAACTAATAAAAAAGCCACAATAGTATATGTATAACAGGGCTGTGCGCCGTGGCGTTTTGGCGTCCATTTTTTGCCGGTTTTGGCGTGTGGCGTGATTTAAGAATTTAAAAAATTGGCGTTTGGCGCGCCACGCGAAAATTTTGGCGCACAGCCCTGGTAAATACCAATCGATTCCTATCGCCAAGCTGGGGGTCCGAAAATTGCATGCTATTTGCCAATAATGGAGGGTGGCAAACCATTGCCGTCACCAAAAATGGTGATGGCAATTGACGGTTTTTATAGGAGATTAAAACTCAGAGATACAGGCTCAGAAATAAAACAATAGTAAAAGACAGTTATGTAAAAGTCAGAATAAATGCCAAAATAAACTAAAACAAGCTTAATTTATATAAGGAGAAAAAGGTTGGGAACAGACCTGGGCGAAACTCCAAATTTTTTTCGGACGAAACGAAACGAAACAAAAATTTTTAAAAATCGTTTCGTTAACAAAACGAAACGAAACCGTCAAAATTTAACGAAACGAAACGAAACAAAACGAAACATTTTAATTTCGAAAAAAATCTCAAAAATCTGGATAATTTTATTAACTACACAATTTTAAGCATGTTAATTGGCCATAATGACATATAAGTGATCGTAAAATTATGTGGACCATAAATTGTGGTCCCATTAGCCAATTTTTCTCTTAATCTCACCTAAATCTAGAGTTTAGCGGTATCGGGATTTATAGAAAAACCGGGATCTGGATTTTGGAATGGTGATACCGATCCCGACACGTGATCGGGATTGGTCGAAATTGTCGCATTACCGAATGAGTAATTGACGACAAAACTTTTGGATTATTAAGCCAAGGTCCTTCCCTTCAAAATATGCAAAAAGATTAATCTGCGGATACTTCCAGTACGGGCTCTAAAGATATTAATAAGGGGGTCAACTCTGTACCCCCTCATTAGCTCCGTTAATCCCACAGATAGACTGATTAAACTTGTAAAGAGATAAAAGCAAAAAATTGTGTTGATCAAACGTTTGTAAGACTTCAGGGTCAATAGGTCATCAGTGTTTAGGTTTACAAGGGGGGTCCTTTCTGATCTCCGCAGGCGAAAATTTTGAGAATTTTGAAGGCCAAGAAGCCAGATTTCTTCCTTTTTTAGCGGCGCAGGCGAAAATTTTGAGTATTTTGAAGGCCAAGAAGCCAGATTTCTTACTTTTTCAGCGCCGCAGGCGAAAATTTTGAGAATTTTGAAGGCCAAAGGGGAAATTTTTTTAGTTTTGGATAATATTTTGGCTTAAAAAATAGGTAATGTTTCGTCAACGAAACACAGGTGTTTCGTTAACAAAACGAAACGAAACAAATTAAAAAGTGTTTCGTCACGAAACGAGACGAAACAGGAAAAAACATAACGAAACTAACGAAACAACGAAACGAAACGAAACGTTTCGCCCACGTCTGGTTGGGAAGGCAATTTATACTCCTCCCATTTTCCCTTGTTTTTAAGCAAATTTCCCGCCAATTTTCTCTAATTACTTCATAAACTCTGTGTGTCTAACAAATGAGAGATAATTAAAATAAGAAAGACAGGGGTCAGTGATGGTCAGTTGGCGGTTTTTTTCGCGGCTGTAAATCCTAGTCTTAAAAATAAGAAATAGGTTGATGATTGACAGATATTTGAATAGTCAAAAGGAACTCTGAAACATGGAAAATGTTGAGAGGCATTATAAAGTTTGTCAAAGAAAATTGAACGAGGGAAAATAAATGAAGGACAGTCATCAGACATTGAATTAAATATAGGCGTGTCCCTACAAAGGATCGTAACATAAAAGGATCGACACGGCTAAAAACGTTCAAAGGATCGTAACGTCTAAAAACAATTAAAGGATCGTCACGGGCAAAAAGTATTAAAGGGTCGCCCATTAAAGGATCGTCCATCAATGGATCGCCATGGGTAAAAACGTTTAAAGGATCGTTTTTTGAGTACCCACCCAAAAGAAGACGTTTGAGTCCCGTATATCTTTTCGATTCGGCCAAAAGGGGTTAAAAGAGTCTAGCAATCCGCGGAAAAAAGTTTTTGCCGCTGCGGAGGAAGCCGGGCATGTCGAGCGGAACGACGGCCGCCGCTTCGCTACGGTCGCCGCGAGCGAAGCGAGCACGACCGCAGCGAAGCACGGCCATCGTGTAGCGAAGACCATGCCCGGCCTACCCTCCGTAGCAGCACAAAAAGTTTTTCCAGCGAAGATTCTGTTGGTAATACATAATTATGTTCAGACTCGACTGACTTTTCCGTCTTAATCACCGTTAGCAGACTGCGGCATATAACTGCGCTCAAACTGTTGGCACTGAACTGGCTTTATTCAATTTTTGAAAAATGACGATCCTTTGAACGATTTTACTCTTGGCGATCCTTTGATGGACGATCCTTCAATGAACGGCCCTTTAATAGTTTTTGCCCGTGACGATCCTTTAACAGGACGATCCTTTGTAAAAACGATCCTTTGTATAGGAGCCAAATATAGGTCTCCATATGGGAGGTTCGAAGCTAATTTTAGTGTTATTCGACTCAGCTCGTTGAATTCTTTCGAATGACATTTTGTTTGTCCAATTCGGATTATGGGAGATATGACGAATTTTTTTATTAATTTATTGAATAACTGAAATTTATTTTTAAGAATTATTTTGGTTCCCGTTGATTTTGGGGTTTTGAGATCTCAATGAAGAAAACATTTATCGACTTCGTTCTTTTTGCATTTCTACTCGATATTGGTGGAAATGTTTGTATAAATTTTTGTGGATATATGTAATTATAACGATAATAATTATATAATTATATAAATTATGACGCATTAAAAATTATAAAAAAGTGTCCGAATCTTTTTGGCGCGCATGTTTTTTAGAAATTATTTCATAAAATTACAGAAAATTGTCTTTTTTCTCTTCCTTCTAATTTAACAAAATTTTCTACTTTTACAAATTTTACTTCCAAAAATCTTTCATTTAAATATTTCTTTTAATTCTCAACTTTTTTTCTTCTATTAATCTTGTGTCCTTATAGTAAATTCCTTTCTATTTTCTGTTCTTTGTATTAGTTTCCTCAAGTTTTTTACATATTCCTTCTTTTTTCCTCATTCCCCCCTACTTTTTCCTCCCTTTTTTGTGTTAACGGCACTCACGTCTTTTTTTCATATCCCCGTTCCTCTCATTTTTTTGTCAAACATTTCCTCCCCTTTGTATCCCTTATTCTTTGTATATGCCAACCGGGCCTTTTATTGATTATTTTCTCGTTGCTAATGGCATCGCGGGAAAGAGAATGCCGAGAAAAGCGGGTAAAAATTGCTTCGGCATTATTGACACAGACTGACATTTCCTCTCCTTTTTTTATTCAAAATTTTGTCTCATGCGTGTTTAACATTTTTTAGGCATTAAAAATTAATATTAAAATTACTAATCTGAATCCTTTAAAACTTTGAGAAAACTTCTTTCTTTTCTAAAAATCCTTGAAAATTCTTAAAAAATTTTTTAGAAGCCTTTAGGTTTTGTTAACGAGTAGTAGAACGTTAATTTTTAGGCTCGGAGCTTTAGTCTCTACAAATAGGGATGTGTCAGATTTAGTAAAAAAAAAGTCTGGTCTGTTTTTCAAAAAATTTCTTTTGTCGGGTTTCGGGTCGTCAAATCCAAGTTTCGTATAACCCACTCATCCATGCTTTACAAAAAATGGCAACAGCTTTTGGGTGTTTGGCATTTCAAGCTTTTGGCAATATAAAACGCTATATAAAAGCAATATAAAAAACGGGAATTTGTGGGAAATTTTCGGGTAGTCATTCGCCACGTGTTATGGGGAATTTTCAAAAAAAGGTTTCGACTTCCTTGACTTTAGGGATCTCCAATTCCTCGACAACACTATCCATAAATCTATTTTTTTGCGCACATCTGGGCTATTTAATTTTATTTTTTTTTAAATTTTTTTCTCTTTTAATTATTTTTATTTTTTTCTGATTACAAAGAAAATTAATTTTTAATGCCCTTAGTGCAAGTTTTGAAGCGGAAATTTAAAATTTTTTTTTTCTTAGAGGGGAGGAGGTAGTTAGGGGAAGAGAGACGGGTA